TATTGGGGTATTTATGGGCCTGGCACAGCCACAGGGGGGTCTATGAACGCTGCATCCGCCCCTGGCTGAATTAAAATGGGATTTATTGGGGTTTTATTGGGGATTTATGGGGTTTTATTGGGATTTATTGGGGTTTTATAGGGATTTATTGTGGTTTTATTGGGGTTTATTGGGGTTTATTGGGGTTTATTGGGGTTTATTGGGTATTGATGGGCCTGCACAGCCACAGGGGCGTCTATGAGCGATGCATCCGCCCATGGCTGACCTAAAATTGGGATTTATGAGGGATTTATTGGGATTTATGAGGGATTTATTGGGATTTATGAGGGATTTATTGGGGTTTTATTGGGATTTATTGGGGTTTTATTGGGATTTATTGCCATTTTATTGGGGTTTATTGGGGTTTTATTGGGGTTTATGGGGCATTGATGGGCCTGGCACAGCCACAGGGGGGTCTGTGAGCGCTGCATCCGCCCATGGCTGACATAAAAATGGGATTTATTGGGTTTATAGGGGATTTATGGGGTTTTATTGGGATTTATGAGGGATTTATAGGGGTTTTATTGGGATTTATAGGGGTTTTATTGGGATTTATTGGGGTTTATTGGGGTTTTATTGGGGTTTATGGGGGCATTGATGGGCCTGGCACAGCCACAGGGGGGTTTATGACGATGCATTCGCCATGGCTGACCTAAAAATGGGAATTAATTGGGGTTTTATTGGGATTTATAGGGGTTTTATTGGGGTTTTATTGGGGTTTTATTGGGATTTATTGGGGTTTTATTGGATTTTATTGGGGTTTATTGGGGTTTATTGGGGTTTTATTGGGGTTTATGGGGCATTGTTGGGCCTGGCACAGCCACAGGGGCGTCTGTGAACGCTGCATCCGCCCATGGCTGAATTAAAATGGGAATTATTGGGGTTTTTATTGGGATTTATTGGGATTTATGAGGGATTTATAGGGGTTTTATTGGGGTTTATTGGGATTTATTGGGGTTTATTGGGGTTTATTGGGATTTATTGGGGTTTTATTGGGATTTATTGGGGTTTATTGGGGTTTATAGGGGATTTATGGAGTTTTATTGGGATTTATTGGGGTTTATAGGGGATTCATGGGGTTTTATTGGGATTTATAGGGGTTTTATAGGATTTATTGGGGTTTTATTGGGGTTTATGAGGGATTTATAGGGTTTTATTGGGGATTTATTGCAATTTTATTGGGGTTTTTAGGGGATTTATTGGGGTTTTATTGGGATTTATTGGGGTTTTATAGAGATTTTGGGGTCCCTATAGGGGATTTGGGGTTCTTAGGGGATTTATTGAAGTTTTATTCGGATTTATTGGGATTTTTATTGGGATTTATTGAGGTTTTATGGGATTTATTAGGATTTTATTGGGATTTATTGGGATTTGGGGTCTCTATAGGGGATTTTTGGGGTTCTTAGGGGATTTATTGAGGTTTTATTGGGATTTATTGGGATTTGGGGTCCCTATAGGGTATTTTGGGGTCTCTATGGAAGATTTATGGGGTTTTTAGGGGATTTATTGGGGTTTTATTGGGATTTATTGGGGTTTTATAGAGATTTGGGGTCCCTATAGGGGATTTGGGTCTCTATGGGGGATTTTGGGGTTCTTAGGGGATTTATTGAGGTTTTATTGGGTTTTATTGGGATTTATTGGGATTTATTGGGATTTTGGGGTCCCTATGGGGATTTTGGGTTCCTATTGTGGATTTTGGGGTCCCTATAGTGGATTTTGGGTTCCTATTGTGGATTTTGGGGTCTCTATGGAAGATTTATGGGGTTTTTAGGGGATTTATTGGGATTTTATTGGGATTTTATTGGGATTTTATTGGAATTTGGGTTCCTATTGTGGATTTTGGGGTCCCTATGGGGATTTTGGGGTCCCCCCCCATTTTTGGGGATTTTTGGGGTGTCCCAGGGTGGGGGCGGGGCCGGTTCAGTATTGGGGGGGTTCCATAGGGGGGGGGAGGGGATCCCCACCCCCACCCCCTCCCCCACCCCTCCCCCACCAACTCAGGGATTTGGGGGCCCCTCCCCCCCCCCCGCGGCCTAAAAGGGGGCGGGGCCAATTGGAGGGGGCGGGGCCAAGGCCAATAAAGCACTTCCCCCCCCCCCCGAAATGAGTCTGGGGCATTTTTGGGGGGTCCTGGGTGAAATTTGGGGGGTTTCCGAGTGAATTTCGGGGCTCCTGGATGGATTTTGGGGGTCCCAAATGGATTTTGGGGGGTCCCGAGTGAATTTTGGGGGTCCCACATGGATTTTGGGGGGTCCTGGGGGGTCCTGTGTGAATTTTGGGGGTTCCAAGTGAATTTTGGGCGTCCTGAATGAATTTTTGGGGGTCCCAGGTGGATTTTGGGGGGTCCTGAGGGAATTTTGGGGGGGGTCCTGGGGGGGGTCCCGTGTGAATTTTGTGGGTCCCAAATGGATTTTGGGGGGTCCCGAGTGGATTTTTGGGGGTCCCACATGGATTTTGGGGGGGTCCTGGAGGTCCAGGGTGAATTTTGGGTGTCCTGAATGAATTTTGGGGGTCCTGAGTGAATTCTGGGGGGTCCCGAGTGGATTTTTGGGGATCCCAAATGGATTTTGGGTGTCCTGAGTGAATTTTGGGGGGTCCTGAGTGAATTTCGGGGGGTCCTGGGGGGTCCTGTGTGAATTTTGGGGGTTCCGAGTGGATTTTTGGGGGTCCTGAATGAATTTTGGGGGGTCCCGGGTGAATTTTGGGGGTCCCAAGTGGATTTTTGTGGGTCCTGAATGAATTTTGGGGATCTTGAGTGAATTTTGGGGTCCTGAATGAATTTGGGGGTCCCTGATGGATTTTGGGAATCCTGAATGAATTTTTGGGGGTCCAAATGAATTTTGGGGATCAAAATTCGCCCCTCCCCCTTTCCCACCATAGCCCCGCCCACTCCCCGCCCATTCACGAGACCACGCCCCCTTTTCCATTCCAGGCTCTTTATTGGTTCAAATCCGACGTCAATCAAAGCGGGGGGGGAGGGGTTAAAGGGGAAAATTGGGCGCAAAATTGGGGCGGATTTGGGGAAATTTTGGTGGTTTTTGGGTATTTTGGCCAATTTGGGGTGAATTTGGGGCGTTTTGGGTGATCTTGAGGCACTTTTAGCTACAAAATCAGAGCAAATTCGGGGCTTTTTTTTGGATGCATTTGGGGCATTCCGGGGCCGGTTTTTGGGGGGGTTTTTTTGGATTTTTTTGGGATTTTTTGTGGATATTTTTGGGATTTTTGAGGGTTTTTTGGGGGGGTTTTTTTGGATTTTTTTGGGGTTTTTTCGGTTTTTTTTTTTTGTTTTGTTTTTTGGGGGTTTTTTGGGATTTTTTTGGGGGAGTTTTGGGGGGATTTTTTTTGGACTTTTTTGGGATTTTTGGCGGGTTTTTGGGGGAGTTTTGGGGATTTTTTGCGACTTTTTTTGGGATTTTTTGGGAATTTTTTGGGGGATTTTTTGGGAGATTTTTGGAGACATTTTTGGGGATTTTTTGGGGGGATCTTTGGGGGTTTTTTTGGGGGGACTTTTTGGGGCATTTTTTTGGGGATTTTTTCAGGTTTTTTGCAGGTTTTTTTTTGAGATTTTTCTGGGGATTTTTTAGGGATTTTTTGCGGGTTTTTTGTGGGTTTTTTATGGGGATTTTTTTGCGTTTTTTTTTTTTAGGGGGATTTTTTGGGATTTTTGGGACTTTTTTTGGAATTTTTCGGGGGATTTTTTTTGGTGATTTTTCTGGGGATTTTTTGTGATTTTTCTGGTGATTTTTCTGGGGATTTTTTAGGATTTTTAGGGGATTTCTGGGCATTTTTTAAGCGATTTTTGGGGATTTTTCTGGGGATTTTTTTAGCGATTTTTTTGGGGTTTTTTCTGGGGATTTTTGGGTTTTTTTCTGGTGATTTTTCTGGGGCTTTTTCTGGGATTTTTCTGGTTATTTTTCTGGGGATTTTTAAGCGATTTTTTAGGGGATTTCTGGTGATTTTTTAGCGATTTTGGTGATTTTTCTGGGATTTTTCTCTGGATTTTGAGGGGATTTTTGGGGATTTTTTTGTGATTTTTCTGGGGATTTTTTGGAGATTTTTCTGGGGATTTATCTGGGATTTTCTGGGGTTTTTTTTAGCGATTTTTTAGGGGATTTCTGGGGGTTTTTTTGTGATTTTTCTGGGATTTTTGGGGATTTTTCTGGGAATTTTTTTAGCGATTTTTTTTGTGATTTTTCTGGGATTTTTCTGGGATTTTTCTGTGGATTTTGGGGGGGATTTTTGGGATTTTTTGGTGATGTTTCTGGGGATTTTTCTTGTGATTTTTCTGGGGATTTTTCGGGGATTTTTTTTGTGATTTTTCTGGGATTTTTCTAGCGATTTTTTGGTGATTTTTCTGGGATTTTTTCTGTGGATTTTGGGGGGGATTTTTGGGGATTTTTTTGTGATATTTCTGGGGTTTTGGGGCTTTTTTTGGGGATTTTTCTCGGATTTTTTCCGGGATTTTTCTGGTGATTTTTTAGCGATTTTTCGCGATTTTTTCTGGTGATTTTGGGTTTTTTCAGGGCGGGGGCAGGGCCAGCAGCGGGGGGCAGCATCTCGGGGGGGTCCCCGCGCCCCCCGCCCGCCTCGGCCGAGTGTTTGCACTTCTCGGAGCCGCACTGGCACGGGAAATATTTGCTCTTGATGTCCCAGAACCGATCCCGTAGTCAAACCTGGAAATTGGGGAGCCAAAATCGTTGGGGTCACCCCAAATCCTGACCCTGACCCCGATTCTGGGGTGGGCTCAGAAATGGGGGATTGAAATGAGGGGGGGTAAAATTGGAGAAAAATCGGATTTAAATTGGCACGAAATGGTCTTAAATTGGCCTTAAATGGCCTTAAATGTCTTTAAATTGGCCTAAATTGTCCTTAAATGTCCCAAAATTGGCCTTAAATGGCCCCAAATTGGCCCTAAATGTCCTAAAAATTGTCCCTTAATTGTCCTGAAAAACCCCCATAAACACCCCATAAATCGGAATAAATCCCTATCAAACCCCAATAAAACCCTATAAAAACCAATTAAACCCCAATAAATCCTATCAAACCCCAATTAACCCCAATTAACCCCAATTAAGCCCACCCCAGCTCCTCTCCGGGCCGGATGTGGCGGCTGCTGAAGGTGGCGATGAGGGGGAAGCGCAGGCCCTGGTGTAACATGGACCCCACAAAACCCCAATTAAACTCCAATAAACCCAAATAAAACCCCTATAAAACCCTATCAAACCCAATTAAACCCTATCAAACCGTAATTAAACCCCAATTAAGCCCAATTAAAGCCCTAATTAAGCCAAACCCCAGCTCGTCTCCGGGCCGGATGTGGCGGCTGCTGAAGATGGCAATGAGGGGGAAGCGCAGGCCCTGGTGTAACACGGACCCCACAAACCCCAATAAACCCCAATAAAACCCCAATCAAACCCCAATTAACACCAATAAACCCCAATTAACCCCCAATTAACCCCAATTAAAGCCAATTAACCCCAATTTAGGCCCACCCCAGCTCCTCTCGGGCCGGATGTGGCGGCTGCTGAAGGCGGCCATGAGGGGAAGCACAGGCCCTGGTGTAACAAGGACCCCACAAACCCCAATAAAACCCCAATTAACCCCAATTAAACCCCAATTAAACCCCAATAAAACCCCAATTAACCCCAATTAAACCCCAATCAGGCCCACCCCAGCTCCTCTCCGGCCGGATGTGGCGGCTGCTGAAGAAGGCGATGAGGGGGAAGCGCAGGTCCTGGTGTAACATGGACCCCATAAACCCCAATAAAACCCCAATTAACACCAATTAAACCCCAATTAAACCCCAATTAACCCAAATTAACCCCAATTAAAGTCCAATTTAACCCACCCCAGCTCCTCTCCGGGCCGGATGTGGCGGCTGCTGAAGAAGGCGATGAGGGGGAAGCGCAGGTCCTGGTGTAACATGACCCCACAAACCCCAATCAAACCCCAATTAACACCTATTAAACCCCAATAAACCCCAATTAAACCCCAATTAACCCCAATTGAACCCTAATTAAGCCAAATTAAGCCCAATTAACCCCACCCCAGCTCCTCTCCGGGCCGGATGTGGCGGCTGCTGAAGGCGGCGATGCGGGGGAAGCGCAGGCCCTGGTGTAACATGGACTCCACAAACCCCAATCAAACCCCAATTAACACCAATTAAACCCCAATTAACCCCAATTAAACACCAATTAACCCCAATTAAACCCCAATCAGGCCCACCCCAGCTCCTCTCCGGGCCGGATGTGGCGGCTGCTGAAGAAGGCGATGAGGGGGAAGCGCAGGCCCTGGTGTAACATGGACCCCCACAAACCCCAATAAAACCCCAATAAAACCCCAATAAAACCATATAAACCCCAATTAAAGCCAAATTAACCCAAATTAATGCAAATTAAACCCCAATTAACCCAAATTTAACCCCACCCCAGCTCCTCTCCGGGCCGGATGTGGCGGCTGCTGAAGGCGGCCATGAGGGGGAAGCGCAGGCCCTGGTGTAACATGGACCCCATAAACCCCAATAAACCTCCATTAAACCCCAATTAACCCCAATTAAAGCCTAATTAAACCTAATTAAGCCCACCCCAGCTCCTCTCCGGGCCGGATGTGGCGGCTGCTGAAGAAGGCGATGCGGGGGAAGCGCAGGTCCTGGTGTAACATGGACCCCACAAACCCTATAAAACCCCAATCAAACCCCTATCAAACCCCAATTAAACCCCAATTACCCCAATTAAGCCCAATTAAGCCCACCCCAGCTCCTCTCCGGGCCGGATGTGGCGGCTGCTGAAGAAGGCGATGCGGGGGAAGCGCAGGTCCTGGTGTAACATGGACCCCATAAACCACAATAAAACCCAATAAAACCCCAATTAACACCAATTAAACCCTATCAAACCTCAATAAAACCCCAATTAACCCCAATTAAAGCCTAATTAAACCCTAATCAGGCCCAGCCCAGCTCCTCTCCGGGCCGGATGTGGCGGCTGCTGAAGAAGGAGATGAGGGGGAAGTGCAGGCCCTGGTGTAACAGGGACCCCCATAAACCCCAATTAAACCCAATAAACCCCAATTAAACCCCAATAAAACCCTATCAAACCCCAAATAAACCCTATCAAACCGTAATTAAACCCCAATTAAACCCTATTAAAGCCTAATTAAACCCTAATTAGGCCCACCCCAGCTCCTCTCCGGGCCGGATGTGGCGGCTCCTGAAGGTGGCGATGAGGGGGAAGCGCAGGCCCTGGTGTAACATGGACCCCATAAACCCCAATAAAACCCCAATAAAACCCCAATTAACCCCAATTGAACCCTAATTAAGCCAAATTAAGCCCAATTAACCCCACCCCAGCTCCTCTCCGGGCCGGATGTGGCGGCTGCTGAAGGCGGCGATGAGGGGGAAGCGCAGGCCCTGGTGTAACAGGGACCCCATAAACCCCAATAAACCCCAATAAAACCCCAAAAAACCCCCAATCAAACCCCAATTAATGCCCAATTAACCCTAATTAAAGCCAAATTAACCCTAATTAAAGCCCAGTTAGCCTAATTTAACCCCACCCCAGCTCCTCTCCTGGCCGGATGTGGCGGCTGCTGAAGGCGGCCATGAGGGGGAAGCGCAGGCCCTGGTGTAACATGGACCCCACAAACCCCAATTAAACTCCAATAAAACCATATAAAACCCCAATAAACCTCCATTAAACCCCAATTAAAGCCCAATTAACCCTAATTTAACCCAATTAGCCCTAATTTAACCCCATCCAGCTCCTCTCCGGGCCGGATGTGGCGGCTGCTGAAGGCGGCCATGAGGGGGAAGCGCAGGCCCTGGTGTAACATGGACCCCACAAACCCCAATTAAACTCCAATAAAACCATATAAAACCCCAATAAAACCCTATCAAACCCCAATAAACCTCCATTAAACCCCAATTAACCCCAATTAACCCTAATTAAGCCCACCCCAGCTCCTCTCCGGGCCGGATGTGGCGGCTGCTGGAGAAGGCCATGAGGGGGAAGCGCAGGCCCTGGTGTAACATGGACCCCCATAAACCCCAATAAAACCCCAATAAAACCCCAATAAAACCATATAAAACCCCAATTAAAGCCAAATTAACCCAAATTAATGCAAATTAAACCCCAATTAACCCAAATTTAACCCCACCCCAGCTCCTCTCCGGGCCGGATGTGGCGGCTGCTGGAGAAGGCCATGAGGGGGAAGCGCAGGCCCTGATGTAACATGGACCCCACAAACCCCAATAAAACCCCAATAAACCCCAATTAAACCCCAATTAAACCCCAATTAAACCCTAATTAAGCCCACCCCAGCTCCTCTCCGGGCGGATGTGGCGGCTGCTGAAGAAGGCGATGCGGGGGAAGCGCAGGTCCTGGTGTAACATGAACACCCTCACGGGGATGATGTTGGGGTCGCACAGGTGGTTGATGAAGCGGCTGACGTTGCCATAGTAACGGGCGTCGATGCAGTAAACCTCGCCGTCCTGTCGCGATAGGGGGCGTGGTCACGGCAAAAGGGGGCGGAGCCACGCCCGAACAGCGATGACATTAAGGATTTTGGGGTCGTTTCTGAAGATTTTGGGGTTTTTTTTCCTGCTCATTTGGGTCCCCCTGCTCGGCAAGGAAGCCTCAGCGCCTTTAGGGATCCCCACCTGAAAATTTGGAGCCACCCCCAAAATCTTTGGGATCCCCGAAAATCTCTGGGGTCGCCCCCAAAATATTCCTGGGAGGCCGACAATGGGTGAATGGGGTGGAGCTGGTGTCCCAAATTTTGGGGTGGGTTCTGAAGATTTGGGGTCCCCCCACTCCCTGGGAGCCTCAGCACCTTTAGGGACCCCTTAAAAATTTCTGGGGCCCCCCAAAATTTTAGGATCCCCAAAATCCCTGGAATACCCCAAAAATTTTTGGGACCCCTTAAATGGGAAAAATCCCCATTGGGTGAATGGGGCAGACCTGGTGTCCCAAATTTGGGGTTTTTGGGAAATTTTGGGGTCTCCTCCCCTGCACAGCTGAGGACCCTCAACACCTTTAGGGACCCCCAAAAAATTTTGGGATCCCCCCAAAATCCCTGGGACCCCTTAAATGGGAAAAATCCCCATTGGGTGAATGGGGCAGACCTGGTGTCCCAAATTTGGGGTTTTTGGGAAATTTTGGGGTCACCCCAAATATTTTGGGGTCTCCTCACCTGCACACCTGAGGACCCTCAACACCTTTAGGGACCCCCAAAAAATTTTGGGATCCCCCAAAATCCCTGGAATACCCCAAAAAATTTTGGGACCCCTAAAATGGGAAAAATCCCCATTGGGTGAATGGGGCGGACCTGGTGTCCCAAATTTGGGGTTTTTGGGAAATTTTGGGTTTTTGGGAAATTTTGGGGTCACCCCAAATATTTTGGGGTCTACTCACATTTAGGGACCCCCAAAAATTTTAGGATCCCCCAAAATTTTTGGGGACCCCTTAAATGGGAAAAATCCCCATTGGGTCAATGGGGCGGACCTGGGGTCCCAAATTTTGGGGTTTTTGGGAAATTTTGGGGTCATCCCAAATATTTTGGGGTCTCCTCCTGAGGACCCTCAACACCTTTAGGGACCCCCCAAAATTTTAGGATCCCCCAAAATTTTTGGGACCCCTTAAATGGGGAAAAATCCCCATTGGGTGAATGGGGCGGACCTGGGGTCCCAAATTTGGGGTTTTTGGGAAATTTTGGGTTTTTGGGTAATTTTGGGGTCACCCCAAATATTTTGGGGTCTCCTCCTGAGGACCCTCAACACCTTTAGGGACCCCCAAAATTTTTGGGATCCCCAAAATCCCCTGGGACCCCCCAAAATGGGAAAAATCCCCCATTGGGTGAATGGGGTGGACCTGGGGTCCCAAATTTTGGGTTTTTGGGAAATTTTGGGTTTTTGGGGAAATTTTGGGGTCACCCCAAATATTTTGGGGTCTCCTCACCTGCACATCTGGGGACCCTCAACACCTTTAGGGACCCCCAAATTTTAGGATCCCCAAAATCCCTGGGACCCCTTAAATGGGAAAAATCCCCATTGGGTGAATGGGGCGGACCTGGGGTCCCAAATTTTGGGGTTTTTGGGAAATTTTGGGGTCCCCCCCCGAATTTTTGGGGTCCCCCAGCGCCCTGACCTTGTTGTCCAGGTCGAACAGGTAGGAATCGTCCTCCCTCACGTCGGCCTCAGCGTCTGAGATCAGCTCCCCCACGTACCTGGGGCAAAAAACGCTGGTTTTGGGTAATTTGAAAAATGTTAAAAATCCTTAAAAATGTAAATTTGTCCCCAAAAGAGTGAAGTTTTCATACAGAGGAAAATTCATTAAAATTCCCTGTTGAATTATGGAAAAAAAGCCGGAAAATCTGCCTCAAAATTCAGGCAAAAAATGGAAAATTTGCTAAAAAAAAACACTAAAATTTCAGTGAATTGTGTAGAAATCTCCTAAAATTCACCCAAAAAATTAGGGAATCTCCCTGGAATCCCTAAAATTGTCAAGAATCCAAAAAATTCGCCCAAATCCGCTGAAATTCCTGGAAATCCTCAAAAAACCAAAATCTACCTCAAAATCCCCCCCCAAAAATCCCTAAAACCCCCAAAAAAACCCCAAAAAAAACCCCCAAAAAGACAAAAATCCACCCCAAAAAGCCCCAAAATCCTCCCCAAAAAAACCCTAAAATCCACCCCAAAAATCCCCAAAATCCACCCCAAAATCCCCCAAAATCCACCCCAAAAAACCCCAAAAATCCACCCCAAAAAATCCCAAAATCCACCCCAAAAAACCCCAAAAATCCACCCAAAAACCCCAAAAATCCACCCCAAAAAAACCCCAAAATCCACCCCCAAAAAAACCCCAAAATCCACCCCAAAAAAACCCCAAAAATCCACCCCAAAAACCCCCAAAATCCACCCCAAAAACCCCAAAATCCACCCCAAAAAACCCCCAAAAATCCCACCCCAAAAACCCCAAAAAATCCGCCCCAAAATCCACCCCAAAAATCCCCAAATCCTCCCATTTTTAGGACTTTCCCCCACAAATTTTGGGATTTTCCCTCCATTTCTGGGATTTTTTTTCTCAATTTTTAGGATTTTCCCTCCTCATTTTTGCAGTTATCTCTCCTCAATTTTGGGATTTTTCCCTCCTGTTTTTGGGATTTTTTTCTCCATTTTTTGGGATTTTTCCCTCCCCGATTTTGGGATTTTTTTCCCCTTTTTTTGTTTTTTTTTCCCCATTTTGGGGGATTTTTTTCTCCATTTTTGGGATTTTTCCCTCCCCGATTTTGGGATTTTTTTTTCTCCATTTTTGGGGTTTTTTCCCCATTTCTGGGTTTTTTTCCCCCCATTTCTGTTTTTTTTTTCCCATTTTTGGGATTTTTTCTCCATTTTTTGGGGTCTTTTCCCTCCCTGTTTTGGGGATTTTTTTTCTCCATTTTTGAGCTTTTCCCCCATTTTTTGGGTCTTTTTCCTCCATGTTTTGGGATTTTCCCTCCCCATTTTTGGGATTTTTCCCTGCCCATTTCTGATTTTTTTTCCCCATTTTTGGGGGTTTTTTCCCCCATTTTTTGTTTGGTTTTTTTTTTTTTCCCCATTTTTAGGATTTCCCTCCCATTTTTTGTTTTCTCCCCCATTTTGGTGTCCCTGGGGTCTCACTCGCAGATGAAGGTCATGAAAATTGCCCATTTTCCCCATTTCCCCCCCCATTTTTTGGGGTTTTTTTCCCCATTTTTTTTTGTTGCCCGCCCATTTTTTATTTTTGCCCCCATTTTTTGGGTTTTCCTCCCCCATTTTTTGTTTTTTCCCCCCATTTTTTTGGTGTTTTTGGTGTCCCTGGGGTCTCACTCGCAGATGAAGGTAATGAAAATTGCCCATTTTCCCCATTTTTTGGGGTTTTTTCCCTTTTTTTTTGTTTTTTTTCCCCATTTTTAGTATTTCGCCCCCATTTTTTGTTTTCCCCCCCCATTTTTGGTTTTCCTCCCATTTTTGGGATTTTTTTCTCCATTTTTAGACTTTCCCTCCCTATTTTCTGAGGTTTTTCCCCCCATTTTTTGGGGTTTTTTCCCCATTTTTTGGGGTTTTTTCCCCCTTTTTTTTTTGTTTTTTTTTTCCCTATTTTTTATTTTTCCCCCCCATTTTTTCTATTTCCCCCCATTTTTTGGGTTTTTCCCCCCATTTTTGGTGTTTTTGGTGTCCCTCGGCCTCACTCACTCGCAGATGAAGGTCATGAAAATTGCCCATTTTCCCCCATTTCCCCCCCATTTTTTGGGTTTTTTTCCCCATTTTTTGGTTTTTTTTCCCCATTTTTTGGGGTTTTTTCCCCATTTTTTTTGTTTTTTCCCCCTTTTTTATTTTTCCCCCCATTTTTGGTATTTTCCCCCCATTTTTTGGTGTTTTTGGTGTCCCTGGGGCCTCACTCACTCGCAGATGAAGGTCATGAAAATTGCCCATTTTCCCCCATTTTTTGGGGTTTTTTTCCCCATTTTTTGGGGTTTTTTCCCCATTTTTTCTTTGTTTTTTTCCCTATTTTTTGTTTTTCCCCCCCATTTTTTGGGTTTTTTCCCCCCATTTTTGGGATTTTGGTGTCCCTGGGGGCCTCACTCACTCGCAGATGAAGGTCATGAAAATTGCCCATTTTCCCCATTTCCCCCCCATTTTTTGGGGTTTTTTCCCCCTTTTTTTTTGTTTTTTCCCCTTTTTTTTTGTTTTTTTTCCCTATTTTTTTGTTTTTTCCCCCCATTTTGGGGTCCCTGGGGTCTCACTCGCAGATGAAGGCAATGAAAATTGCCCATTATCCCCATTTCCCCCCCATTTTTTGGGGTTTTTTCCCCATTTTTTTTGTTTCCCCCCCCATTTTTTCTTTTTCCCTCCTATTTTTTGTGTTTTCCCCCCATTTTTGGTGTTTTTGGGGTCCCTGGGCCTCACTCTCTCGCAGATGAAGGTAATGAAAATTGCCCATTTCCCCCCCATTTTTGGGGTTTTTTCCCCCTTTTTTTTTTGTTTTTCCCCCATTTTTTGGGGTTTTTTTTTCCCCTTTTTTTTTGTTTTTTCCCCATTTTTTGTTTTCTCCCCCATTTTTGGTATTTTTCCCCCCATTTTTGGTGTCCCTGGGGTCTCACTCGCAGATGAAGGTCATGAAATTGCCCATTTTCCCCATTTCCCCCCCATTTTCTGCCATTTCTCCCCCATTTTTTGGGGTTTTTTCCCCATTTTTTTCTGTTTTTTCCCCTTTTTTTTTGGTTTTTTCCTATTTTTGGTATTTTTCCCCCCATTTTGGTGTCCCTGGGGCCTCACTCACTCGCAGATGAAGGTCATGAAAATTGCCCATTTTCCCCCATTTTTTGGGGTTTTTTCCCCTTTTTTTTTTTGTTTTTTCCCCTTTTTTTTTGTTTTTTTTTTCCCCTATTTTCTGGTTTTCCCCCCTATTTTTTGGGATTTTGGTGTCCCTGGGGTCTCACTCACTCGCAGATGAAGGTAATGAAAATTGCCCATTTCCCCCCCCATTTTTTGGGTTTTTTCCCCCATTTTGGGGGTTTTTTTTTCCCTTTTTTTTTTGTTTTTTTCCCCATTTTTAGGATTTTGCCCCCCATTTTTGGTATTTTTCCCTCCCATTTTTTGGGTTTCCCCCCATTTTTTGGATTTTTGGGGTCCCTGGGGCCTCACTCGCAGATGAAGGTCCCGGGGGGAATCGCCTGCAGCGCCCGCACCCCCCAGCCCATCTTGGCCGTGCGGTAGAGCTGGAGCCGCACCCTGGAATGGGGAAAATAATGGGAATTTGGGAAAAATGAGGAAAAATGGGGATTTGGGGGGGAAATGGGGGAAAATGGGGGAAAATGGGGGAAAAATTGGGAAAAAATGGGAATTTTAGGGGGAAAAATGGGGGGAAAATGGGGGAAGAAGGGGGAAAATAATGGGAATTTTAGGGGGAAAATGGGGAAAAATGGGATTTGGGGGAGAAGAATGGGGAAAAAAAAGGGGATTTTTGGAAAAAAAAGGGATTTTTTGGGGGAAAAATGGGGATAATTGGGGGAAATGGGGGAAAATTGGGGAAAAAATGGGAATTTACGGGGGAAAATGGGGGAAAAATGGGGAAAATGGGGAAAAAAGGTGAATTTTTGGGGAAAAAAAGGGGATTTTTTTTGGGGGGGAAAAAATGGGAATTTTTGGGGGGAAAATGGGGAAAATGGAATTTTGGGGGAAAAATGGGGGGAAAGATGGGGGGAAAATGGGGGGAAATGGGAATTTTTGGGGAAAATGGGGGAAAATGGGAAAAAATGGGGAAAAATGGGGGAAAATGGGAAAAATAATGGGAATTTTAGGGGGGAAAATGGGGAAAAAAAGGGGGAAAATGAGGAAAATGGGAATTTTAGGGGGAAAAATGGGGAATTTTAGGGGGGAAAATGGGGAAAAATGGGGGAAAATGGGGGAAAAAAAGGTGAATTTTTGGGAAAACAAAGGGATTTTTTGGGGGGAAAATGGGGAAAAAATGGGAAAAATGGGGAAAATGGGGATTTGGGGGGAAATGGGGGAAAAAAAGGATTTTTTGGGAAAAAAAGGGATTTTTGGGGGATTTTGGGATTTTGCCATTTTTGGGCGCAGAATTTTGGGGTTTTTTGGGATTTTTGGGGTTTTTGGGGTCTGGTATTTGGGATTTTGGGGTTTTTGGGGTCCAGGATTTGGGATTTTGGGATTTTTGGGTGCAGAATTTTGGGATTTTTTGGGTTTTTTTGGGTACAGAATTTGGGATTTTTTGGGGTTTTTTTTGGGATTTTGGCATTTTTGGGCACAGAATTTTGGGGTTTTTTGGGATTTGGGGGTTTTGGGGGTCCAGGATTCAGGATTTTGGGGGTTTTTTGGGGATTTTTGAGGTTTTTTGGTATTTTTGGCCCCACTTGATGCCGCTCTGCACCACGCGGTTCTTTGGGGTGCAGAATTGGGGATTTTTGGGGTTTTTGGCACAGAATTTTGGGGTTTTTGGGGTTCGGGATTCAGAATTTTGGCGTTTTTTTGGGGTTTTTTTGGGATTTTTGGGGTTTTTGGGCACAGAATTGGGGATTTTTTGGGTATTTGGGTTTTTGGGCACAGAATTTTGGGATTTTTGGGTTTTTTTTGGTATTTTGGCCCCCACTTGATGCCGCTCTGCACCACACGGTTCTTTGGGGTGCAGAATTTTGGGATTTTTTGGGGTTTTTTTGGGTACAGAATTTTGGGATTTTTGGGGTTTTTTTGGGTACAGAATTTTGGGATTTTTTGGGGTTTTTTTGGGATTTTTGGGGTTTTTGGGCACAGAATTTTGGGGTTTTTGGGGATTTTGGGGTTTTTGGGGTCCAGGATTCAGAATTTTGGGTTTTTGGGGTTCAGAATTTTGGATTTGGCATTTTTGAGCACAGAATTTTGGGTTTTTTGGATTTTGGGGTTTTTGGTGTCCAGGATTCAGGATTTTGGGGTTTTTTGGGGTTTTTTTGGGGGTTTTTGGGGTTTTTGGCCCCCACTTGATGCCGCTCTGCACCACGCGGTTCTTGCAGCTCCTCCAGCAGGTGCAGGCCTGGTTGCACTCGAAGATCAGGGGGGGCTCGATTTTATTGAACTCCTGCAGCAGCCGCCCGTCCTGGGGAAAAGGGAAAAAGGGACAATGAAACTGGCCCAAAATAGCCCAAAAACAGCCCAAAAATACCCCAAAAACACCCCAAAAATACCCTTTAAAATAGCCCAAAAATATCATTGAAAATGCCCCAAAAATAGCCTTTAAAATAGCCCAAAACAGCCCAAAACCAGCCCAAAAACACCCCAAAAACACCCCCAGAACCACCTCAAAAATACACTTTAAAATAGCCCAAAAGAGCTCAAAAACACCGTTTAAAATACCCCAAAACAGCCCAAAAACACCCCAAAAATACCCAAAAATACCCTTTAAAATAGCCCAAAAATATCATTTAAAATGCCCCAAAATAGCCCAAAAATACCCCCCAAAACAGCCCAAAAATACCCTTTAAAATACCCCAAAAGAGCTCAAAAATGCCCTAAAAATATCCTTTAAAATACCCCAAAACAGCCCAAAAACAGCCCAAAAATACCCTTTAAAATACCCCAAAAATAGCCTTTAAATAGCCCAAAACAGCCCAAAAATGCCCTTTAAAATAGCCCAAAATAGCCCAAAAATACCCCCAAAAACAGCCCCAAAATGCCCTTTAAAATACCCCAAAAGAGCTCAAAAATGCCCTAAAAATATCATTTAAAATACCCCAAAATAGCCCAAAAATACCCCCAAAAATACCCCAAAAATGCCCTTTAAATACCCCAAAAATATCATTTAAAATGCCCCAAAAATACCCTTTAAAATACCCCAAACCAGCCCAAAAAACAGCCCAAAAATGCCCTTTAAAATAGCCCAAAAATATCATTTAAAATGCCCAAAAATAGCCTTTAAAATACCCCAAAACAGCCCAAAACAAGCCCCAAAACCAGCCCAAAAATGCCCTTTAAAATACCCCAAAATATCCTTTAAAATACCCCAAAATCACTCCCAAAAACACCCCCAGAACCACCTCAAAAATGCCCTTTAAAAATACCCCAAAAGAGCTCAAAAATGCCCTAAAAATATCCTTTAAAATACCCCAAAAACACCCAAAACCAGCCCAAAAATACCCCAAAAATGCCCTTTAAAATAGCCCAAAAATATCATTTAAAATACCCCAAAAATATCATTTAAAATGCCCCAAAAATACCCTTTAAAATACCCAAAAACACCCCAAAAATACCCCAAAAATACCTTTAAAATAGCCCAAAAATATCATTTAAAATGCCCCAAAATAGCCCAAAAATACCCTTTAAATACCCCAAAAGAGCTCAAAAATGCCCTAAAAATATCCTTTAAAATACCCCAAAACAGCCAAAAACAGCCCAAAAACAGCCCAAAAATACCTTTAAAATACCCCAAAAATAGCCTTTAAAATAGCCCAAAACAGCCCAAAAATGCCCTTTAAAATAGCCCAAAATAGCCCAAAAATACCCCCAAAAACAGCCCCAAAATGCCCTTTAAAATACCCCAAAAGAGCTCAAAAATGCCCTAAAAATATCCTTTAAAATACCCCAAACCAGCCCAAAAACAGCCCAAAATGCCTTTAAAATAGCCCAAAAATATCATTTAAAATGCCCCAAAAATAGCCTTTAAAATAGCCAAAAATACCCCCAAAAACAGCCCAAAAATGCCCTTTAAAATACCCCAAAACAGCCCAAAAATACCCTTTAAAATAGCCCAAAAATATCATTTAAAATGCCCCAAAATAGCCCAAAAATACCCCAAAAACAGCCCAAAACCAGCCCAAAACCACCCCCAGAACCACCCCAAAAATACCCTTTAAAATAGCCCAAAAGAGCTCAAAAGTGCCCTAAAAATATCCTTTAAAATACCCCAAAACAGCCCAAAAATACCCCAAAATATCCTTTAAAATACCCCAAAAATATCATTTAAAATACCCCAAAACAGCCCAAAAATACCCAAAAATATATTTTAAAATACCCCAAAAATATCATTTAAAATACCCCAAAACAGCCCAAAAATACCCCAAAAATGCCCTTTAAAATACCCAAAATAGCCCAAAAACACCCCAAAAATATCCTTTAAAATACCCCAAAAATGTCCTAAAAAATTTTTTTGGGGTATTTTTTGGGGTATTTTTTGGGGTATTTTTTGGGGTATTTTTCAGATATTTTGGGGGTAATTTTTGGGGGATATTTTTGGGATTTTTGGGGATATTTTTGGGATATTTTTGGGTTTTTGGGGGGATTTTTTTGTATATTTTAGGGGTATTTTTGGGGATATCTTTCGAATATTTTTGAGATATTTTAGGGATATTTTTCAGAAATTTTTGGGATTTTTTGGGGATATTTCGGGGATATTTTTCAGATATTTTTGGGGATATTTTTGGGGATATTTTTCGGATAATTTTGGGATATTTTTTAGGATATTTTGGGGATATTTTTGGGATATTTTTGTGATATTTTGGGGATATTTTGGAATATTTTTGGGGGTATTTTTTGGGATTTAGGGGGGTATTTTTGGGGATATTTTTGGGGTATTCTTGGGGATATTTTTGGGATTTTTGGGGATATTTTTTTGAATTTTTAGGGGTATTTTGGGGGCTATTTTTCGGATATTTTGGGATATTTTGGGGGTATTTTTGGGGAATATTTTAGGGAATATTTTGGGGACATTTTTGGGATATTTTGGGGGGCATTTTAGGGGATATATTTGGGATTTTGGGGGGTATTTTTGGAATTTTTTAGGGCTATTTTTGGGGCTATTTTTCGGATATTTTGGGGGTGTTTTGGGGATATTTTTGGGGATATTTTTGGGGGTATTTTGGGGGATATTTTTTGGATATTTTTGGGGGTATTTTTAGGATATTTTGGGGATATTTTGGGGATATTTTTGGGCTATTTTGGGGCTATTTTTGGGATTTTTCAGGGATATTTTTTGGGATATTTTAGGGATATTTTGGGGCTATTTTAGGGCATATTTTTGGGGATATTTTAGGGATATTTTTGTGGTATTTTTGGGATATTTTTGGGATATTTTTGGAGATTTTTTTTTATATTTTGGAGATATTTTTGGGGTATTTTCGGGATTTTTTTGGGATATTTTGGGATATTTTTCAGATATTTTGGGGATATTTTGGGGTTATTTTTGTGAATATTTTTGGGATACTTTGGGGGATATTTTTGGGAATAATTTTGGGGATATTTTTGGGATTTTTGGGGATATTTTTGGGATATTTTTGGGTTTTTTGGGGATTTTTTTTGGTATATTTTAGGGGTATTTTTGGGGATATCTTTCAAATATTTTTGAGATATTTTAGGGATATTTTTCAGAAATTTTTGGGATTTTTTGGGGATATTTTGGGGATATTTTCGGATATTTTGGGGGGATTTTTGGGGTTATTTTTGGGATTTTTGGGGATATTTGGGGGATATTTTTTGGGTATTTTGGGATGTTTTGGGAATGTTTTTGGGGATATTTTTTGGATTTTTGGGGGGTATTTTTGGGGATATTTTGGGGATATTTTTCAGATATTTTTGGGGATATTTTTCAGATAATTTTGGGATATTTTTTAGGATATTTTGGGGATATTTTAGGGGTATTTTTAGGATATTTTTGGGATATTTTGGGGATATTTTGGGGGTATTTTTAGGATATTTTTGGGGATATTTTGGGGTATTTTTGGGATATTTTTGGGGTTTTTTGGGGATATTTTTGGGGATATTTTTGGAGATTTTTTTTTTTATATTTTGGGGCTATTTTGGGGCTATTTTGGGGCTATTTTTGGGATTTTTCAGGGATATTTTTTGGGATTTTTCAGGGATATTTTTTGGGATATTTTTCGGATATTTTTGGATATTTTTTTGGGATATTTTTGGGCTATTTTTGGGGATATTTTTGGAGATTTTTTTTATATTTTGGGGATATTTTGGGGCTATTTTTGGGATATTTTTGGGATATTTCAGGGATCTTTTTTGGGATATTTTTGGGATATTTTTGGGGTATTTTTGGGATATTTTTGGGATTTTTCAGGGATATTTTTTGGGATATTTTGGGGATATTTTTGGGATATTTTGGGATATTTTTTGGGCTATTTTGGGGATATTTTTGGGGTATTTTTGTGATATTTTGGGGATATTTTGGGAATGTTTTTGGGGATATTTTTTGGATTTTTGGGGGATATTTTTGGGGATATTTTGGAGATTTTTTTTGATATTTTGGGGATATTTTTGGGATATTTTTGGGGTTTTTGGGGATATTTTGGGGGTATTTTTAGGATATTTTTGGGATATTTTGGGGGTATTTTGGGGGATATTTTTGGATATTTTTTGGGGTATTTTTAGGATATTTTGGGGATATTTTGGGGATATTTTTGGGCTATTTTGGGGCTATTTTTGGGATTTTTCAGGGATATCTTTTGGATATTTTTTTGGGATATTTTAGGGATATTTTGGGGCTATTTTGGGGATATTTTTTGGGCTATTTTGGGCTATTTTTTGGGGTTTAATTCCCTTTTTCCCCTCTCACCTTGTCGTACCAGCAGCGGATGCTGAGCTGCCCACAGAGGCAGTTGGAGGAGGAGCAATCGTCCTGGCAGGTGCAGTGCTGCAAAATCAGCCAAAATCAGCCAAAATCACCCCAAAATTACCCCAAAATCAGCCAAAATCAGCCAAAATTGACCCAAAATCAGCCAAAATCACCCCAGAATGACCCAAAATGACCCAAAATCAGCCAAAATTACCCCAAAATCACCCAAAATTGACCCAAAATCAGCCAAAATAACCCCAAAATCACCCAAAATTGACCCAAAATCAGCCAAAATGACCCCAAAATCAGCCAAAATGACCCCAAAATCACCCAAAATCACCCCAAAATCACCCAAAATTGACCCAAAATCAGCCAAAATTGACCCAAAATCAGCCAAAATCAGCCAAAATTGACCCAAAATCAGCCAAAATCAGCCAAAATCAGCCAAAATCACCCAAAATTTACCCCAAAATCAGCCAAAATTGACCAAAATCAGCCAAAATTGACCCAAAATCAGCCAAAATTACCCAAAATCACCCCAAAATCAGCCAAAATCAGCCAAAACACCCCAAAATGACCCCAAAATTACCCCCAAATCAGCCAAAATCAGCCAAAATCAGCCAAAATCAGCCAAAATCGACCCCAAAATCAGCCAAAATTGACCCAAAATCAGCCAAAATCAGCCAAAATCAGCCAAAATCACCCCAAAATCAGCCAAAATTTACCCAAAATCACCAAAAATCAGCCAAAATCACCCCAAAATCAGCCAAAATCACCCCAAAATCAGCCAAAATCACCCAAAATGGACCCCAAAATCACCCAAAATCAGCCAAAATCACCCCAAAATCAGCAAAAATTTACCCAAAATAACCCCAAAATCACCCAAAATCAGCCAAAATCAGCCAAAATTGACCCAAAATCAGCCAAAATTGACCCAAAATCAGCCAAAATCACCCCAAAATTACCCAAAATCACCCCAAAATCAGCCAAAATCACCCAAAAATTACCCCAAAATTATCCCAAAATTACCCAAAAATCACCCCCAAATTACCGCAAATAACCCAAAATTACCCCAAATTGACCCAAAATCACCCCAAAATTACCCAAAAATTACCCCAAAATCACCCCAAAATTTTCCCAGAATTGACCCAAAATCACCCCAAAAATTACCCAAAATCACCCCAGAATGACCCAAAATCACCCAAAATCAGCCAAAATTTACCCAAAATCACCCCCAAATCACCCAAAATCACCCAAAATCACCCAAAATTTACCCAAAATCACCCCAAAATCACCCAAAATCACCCAAAATGACCCCAAAATCAGCCAAAATCACCCCAAAATGACCCAAAATCACCCCAAAATGACCCAAAATCATCCCAAAATCACCCCAAAATTTACCCCAAATTTACCCAAATTTACCTAAAATAATCCAAACCACACAAAATTAACCCAAAACTTACACCAAAATACCCAAAATTTACACCAAAACGACACCAAAATACACAAAACTAACCCCAAAATGATCCCATTTTTATCCAATTTTTACCCTCAAAATTCCCATTTTTCCACCGATTTTCCCATTTTTTCTCCCAGTTCATCCCAGTCCCCAAATCCCCATTTTCATCCATTTTACCCTGAAAAATCCAATTTTTACCCCCAAAATTCCCATTTCTCCACCATTTTTCTGCCGATTTTCCCCATTTTTCCACATTTTTTCCACTGAATATTTCCACCGATTTTCCCCATTTTTTCACCGATTTTCTCCATTTTTTCACTGATTTTCCCCATTTTTTCCCCGTTTTTTCCCCATTTTCTCCCCATTTTTTCACCGATTTTCCCCATTTTTTCCCCCCATTTTTTCACTGATTTTTCCACCTATTTCCCCCATTTTTTCCCGTTTTTCCCCATTTTTTCCCCATTTTCCCACCGATTTTCCCCATTTTTTCCCCCATTTTTCCACCTATTTCCCCCATTTTTCCACCGATTTTCCCCATTTTTCCCCATTTTTCCACCGATTTTCTCCATTTTTTCACCGATTTCCCCATTTTTTCCCCATTTTTCCACCGATTTTCCACCAATTTTCCCCATTTTTCCCCCATTTTTTTCCCCATTTTTCCACTGATTTTCCCCATTTTTTCACTGATTTTTCACTGATTTTTCCACCAATTTTTCCACCAATTTTCTCCATTTTTCCACCGATTTTCCCCATTTTTTTCCCCATTTTTTTCCCCCATTTTTTCCACCTATTTCCCCCATTTTTCCACCGATTTTCCCCATTTTTTCCCCATTTTTTCCCCCATTTTTTCCCCATTTTTTCACCAATTTTCCCATTTTTTCCCATTTTTCCACCGATTTTCCCCTTTTTTTCACTGATTTTTCCACCAATTTTCTCAATTTTCCCACCGATTTTCTCCAGTTTTTCCCCATTTTTTCCCCCCATTTTTCCACCTATTTCCCCATTTTTTCACCGTTTTTCCCCATTTTTCCACCGATTTTCCCCATTTTTTCCCCATTTTCCCACCAATTTTCCCCATTTTTTCCCCGTTTTTTCCCCATTTTTTCCCCCATTTTTTTCCCCCATTTTTTCACCGATTTTCCCCATTTTTCCACCAATTTTCCCCATTTTTCCCCATTTTTCCACCGATTTTTCCACCGATTTTCCCCATTTTTTCACTGATTTTTCCACCGATTTTTCCATCGATTTTCTCCATTTTTTCCACCGATTTTCCCCATTTTTCCCCATTTTTCCACCGATTTTCTCCGTTTTTTTCCCCCCTTTTTTTCCCCGTTTTTTCTCCCAGTCCATCCCAGTCCATCCCAGTCCCCAAATCCCATTTCACATCCATTTTTACCCCCAAAATTCCCATTTTTTCACCATTTTCCATCAATTTTCCCAATTTTTTCACCAATTTTCCCATTTTTTCTCCCAATCCCTCCAGTCCCTCAAATCCCCATTTTTATCCAATTTTACCCCCAAAATTCCCATTTTTCCACATTTTTTCACCGATTTTCCCCATTTTTTCCCCATTTTTTCCCCCATTTTCCCACCTATTTCCCCCATTTTTTCACCAATTTCCCCATTTTTCCTCATTTTTCCACCGATTTTCCCCATTTTTTCCCCATTTTTTCCCCGATTTTCTCCATTTTTCCACCGATTTTCCCCATTTTTTCCCCATTTTTTCCCCATTTTCCACCAATTTTCCCCATTTTTCCACCGATTTTCCCCATTTTTTCCCCGTTTTTTCCCCATTTTTTCCCCCATTTTTCCACCAATTTCCCCCATTTTTTCACTGATTTTCCCCATTTTTTCCCCCATTTTTCCACCGATTTTCCCCATTTTTCCCCATTTTTTCACCGATTTTCTCCAATTTTCCCCATTTTTTCACTGATTTTTCCACCTATTTTCCCCATTTTTTCCCCATTTTTCCACCAATTTCCCCCATTTTTCCACCGATTTTCCCCATTTTTTCACTGATTTTTCCACCGATTTTTCCACCAATTTTCTCCATTTTCCCACCGATTTTCCCCATTTTTTCCCCATTTTTTCCCCATTTTTTCCCCATTTTTTCCCCATTTCCCCCATTTTTTCCCCGTTTTCCCCCCAGTCTGTCCCAGCGTGGGCAGCACCTGCAGGTGGGTGATGTTGTGGTCGATGTTCATGGTGGAGGTCTCGCAGTTCTCCGCGATGTATTTGTAGTCCTGGGACAGGGCTCCTCGTCCACACCGTTCACAGCACGGGATGGGGACGTTCTCGTGGCCCTGGCCACGTCCCTGGGGCGAAAAAGGGGAAAAAAGGGGAAAAAAAGGGGGGTTTTGAAATCAGTGATGAAATCTGGGGGGAGATGGGAAAATCGGGGAAAAATCCGGGCAGAAATGGAAAAAAATGGGAAAAATCGGGGGCGGAAATGGGAAAAAAATGGGGAAAAAATTGGGGGGCAGAAATGGGAAAAATGGGGAAAAAATTGGGGCGGAAATGGGAAAAATGGGGAAAAATCGGGGTGGAAATGGGAAAAATGGGGAAAAAATCCGGGGCGGAAATGGGAAAAAAATGGGGAAAATCGGGGGCAGAAATGGGAAAAATGGGGAAAAAATTGGGGGCGGAAATGGGAAAAAAATGGGAAAAAAATCAGGCCGAAATGGGAAAAATCGGGAAAAAAATCGAGGCAGAAATGGGTGGAAAAAAATGGGATTTTTCCATGGGATTCCCATAGGCAGAAATCCCATGGAAAAAATCCCATGGAAATCTGGGCAGAAATGGGAAAAATCCAATGGAAAAAAATCGCAAAAAAATCAGGGCAGAAATGGGAAAAATCCCATGGAAAGAATCCCAAAAAAATCCAGGAAAAAATCTCCAAAAAAAATCCCAAAAAATCCAGGTAAAAATCCCCAAAAATCCAGGAAAAATCCCCAAAAAATCGAGAAAAATCCCCCAAAAATCCATAAAAATCGCAAAAAAATCCAGGAAAAAATCCCCAAAAAATCGCAAAAAATCCAGGAAAAAATCCAGGAAAAAATCCGGGGAAAAATCCCCAAAATCCATAAAAATTAGCAAAAAATCCACAAAAAATCCACAAAAATCCACAAAAAAATCCCCAAAAATCCGGGAAAAATCCCCCAAAAATCCATAAAAAATTCGCAAAAATCACAAAAAATCCAGGAAAAAATCTCCAAAAAAATCCCCCAAAATCAGAATATTTTCCATAAAAATAAAACTGCCAAATTATCCCAAAAATGCCCGAATTTCTCTCAGACCTCACCTGCTGACGATGCGCTCGGTGTGCAGGGCCCGGCCCCTCAGGCGCAGTTTGTGACCCAAAAAATCACCAAAAAAATCCCCAAAAAATCCGGGAAAAAATCCCCAAAAAATCCGGGAAAAATCACCAAAAATCCAGGAAAAATCTCCAAAAAATCCGGGAAAAATCCCCAAAAATATCCGGGAAAAATCCCCCCAAAATCCATAAAAATCGCAAAAAATCGCAAAAAAATCCAGGAAAAAATCCCCCAAAAATCCGGGAAAAATGCCCAAAAAAGCCATAAAAATGTGCAAAACATCCAGGAAAAAATGCCCCAAAAATCCACAAAAAAATCCCAAAAATCCGGGAAAAATCCCCAAAAATCCATAAAAAATTCGCAAAAAATCACAAAAAATCCAGGAAAAAATCCAAAAAAATCCCCAAAAAATCCGGAAAATTTTCTATAAAAGTAAAACTGCCAAATTGTCCCAAAAAGGCCCGGATTTCCTCAGACCTCACCTGCTGACGATGCGCTCGGTGTGCAGGGCCCGGCCCGCCGCCCCCAGGCGCAGTTTGTGACCAAAAAATCAGCAAAAAATCCCCCAAAAAAATCCCAAAAAATCAAAAAAAATCCCAAAAAATCAGGAAATTTTTCTATAAAAATAAAACTGCCAATTGTCCCAAAAATGCCCGAATTTCCCTCAGACCTCACCTGCTGACGATGCGCTCGGTGTGCAGGGCCCGGCCCGCCACCACCCAGGCGCAGTTTGTGACCAAAAAATCACAAAAAAATCAGCAAAAAAAATCCACAAAAAATCCCCAAAAAAATCCCAAAAAATCCCCCAAAAATCAGGAATATTTTCTATAAAAATAAAACTTCCAAATTGTCCCAAAAATGCCCGATTTTCCCTCAGACCTCACCTGCTGACGATGCGCTCGGTGTGCAGGGCCCGGCCCGCCGCCCCCAGGCGCAGTTTCCGGTTGAGCTGCAGCGCCACCCAAACCTCGGAGCGCTCCGGGGTCAGGTCCAGGGGGAATCGCCCTCCTTGTTCCGCACCTCCGGGTCCGCCCCCGCGCGACAGGAACAGGCTGGGGGGGCAGCGAGGCCTCAGGGACCCCTCCTCAAATTGCAGACCCCTCCCCAAATTGATTGGAACCCCCTGGGACCCCCCAAATTCAACCCCGAATTCCGGGATTCCCCCTGCCCTTCAATGGTTTCTCCCCATGGGGATCATCTATGGACCCCAAATTGGGGAGGGGGGTCAGGGATTACCTGGGACCCCCCTCCCCAAATTCCTGAGACCTCTCCCCAAATTTTGGACCCCCCCCTCAAATTGCAGACCCCTCCCCAAATTGATTGGAACCCCCCTGGGACCCCCCAAATTCAACCCCGAATTCCGGGGATCCCCCCCTGCCCTTTAATGGTTTCTCCCCATGGGATCATCTATGGACCCCAAATTGGGGAGGGGGGTCAGGGATTACCTGGGACCCCCTCCCCCAAATTCTTGAGACCCCTCCCCAAATTCCTGAGACCCCTCCCCAAATTTCGGACCCCTCCTCAAATTGCAGACCCCTCCCCAAATTGATTGGAACCCCTACATCCACCCAAATTCAACCTCGAATTCCGGGGATCCCCCCTCATTTAATGGTTTCTCCCCATAGGATCCGCTATGGAGCCTTCCTGGGACTCCTCAGCCCCCTCAGAAGCCCCCAGACCCAATTCCCTCACCTGACACAATCGTGTCCCTGTGTTCCCTGGTGTCCCCAGACCCCTGTGACCCTCCTGAAGCCCCCAGACCCAATTCCCTCTCATGACACGATTGTGTCCCCTGTGTCCCCCTGACCCCTGTGACCTTCCCAGAAGCCCCCAGACCCAATTCCCTCTCCTGACACAATCGTGTCCCTGTGTCCCCCATGTCCCCCTGTTCCCTGTGACTCCTGTGACCCCCCTGAAGCCCCCAGACCCAATTCTGCCACCTCACACAATCGTGTCCCTGTGTCCCCATGTCCCCCTGTTCCCTGTGACTCTCCTGACTCCCCCAAAGCCCCCAGACCCCTGTGACCCCTCAGAAGCCCCCAGACCCAATTCCCTCACCTCACACAATCATGGTAGCTCTCCCTGGCTGCGATGTGCAGGGGCGTGTCCCCGTGGAAGGGCTGTCCCTGTGTCCCCTGGTGTCCCCCCAAGCCCTGTGACCCCCCTGATGCTCTGTGACCCCTGTGACCCCCAAAGCCCCCCGAAGCCCCCAGACCCAATACCTGACACAGTCATGGTAGCTCTCCCTGGCTGCGATGTGCAGGGGCGTGTCCCCATGGAAGTTGACCGCGTGCAGGTCGCACTGCGCGTTCAGCAGCACCTCGGCGATCTCGGCGCTGCCCGTGAACGACGCCCAGTGCAGGCAGATGTTCTCCTCCTGAGTGACCAACTGACCATGAGTGACCACTGCTGACCAGCACTGACCATCACTGACCACCCAAACCCACCCACTGACCATCAGTGACCAGCCAAACCCAGCCACTGACTGCCCAGTGCAGGCAGATGTTCTCCTCCTGGGTGACCAACTGACCATTAGTGACCACTGCTGACCATCAGTGACCACCCAAACCCACCCACTGACCATCACTGACCACCCCCTGACTGCGCAGTGCAGGCAGATGTTCTCCTCCTGAGTGACCAACTGACCATCAGTGACCACTGCTGACCATCAGTGACCACTGCTGTCCACCCAAACCCAGCCACTGACCATCAGTGACCAGCACTGACCATCAGTGACCACCCAAACACAGCCACTGACTGCCCAGTGCAGGCAGATGTTCTCCTCCTGAGTGACCAACTGACCATCAGTGACCACTGCTGACCATCAGTGACCAACTGACCATCACTGACCAGCACTGACCATCAGTGACCATCCAAGCCCACCCAGTGACCATCAGTGACCATCACTGACCATCAGTGACCACCCAAACCCAGCCACAGCCACCAGTGACCAGCACTGACCAGCACTGACCAGCACTGACCACCAGTGACCACCCTGGGTCCTCCCAGCTGTGCCCCCAGGTGTGTTCCCAATGCCCCCAGGTGTGCCCAGGTGTGCCCAGGTACCCCCAGGTATATCCCAGGTGTCCCCAGGTGTGCCCAGGTGTGTTCCCAATGCCCCCAGGTGCCCCCAGGTGTATCTCAGGTGTCCCCAGCTGTCCCCAGGTGTGTTCCCCAGGTATCCCCAGGTGTGTTCCCAATGCCCCCAGGTATCCCCAGGTGCCCCCAGGTGTATCTCAGGTATCCCCAGCTGTGTCCCCAGGTGTGTCTCCCAGGTGTGTCCCCCAGGTGTATCCCCAGGTGTCCCCCAGGTGTGTGTCCCCAGGTCTCCCCAGGTGTATCCCCAGGTGTATCCCAGCTGTCCCCAGGTGTATCTCAGGTGCCCCCAGGTGTGTTCCCCAGGTATCCCCAGGTGTGTTCCCCATGTGTGTTCCCCAGGTGTATCTCAGCTGTCCCCAGGTGTATTCCCCAAGGTGTGTTCCCCAGGTGTATTCCCCAGGTGTGTTCCCAGGTGTATCCCCAATGCCCCCAGCTGTCCCCAGGTGTATCTCAGGTACCCCCAGGTGTATCCCCAGGTGTGTTCCCCAGCTGTCCCCAGCTGTCCCCAGGTGTATCCCCAGGTGTATCTCAGGTATCCCCAGGTGTCCCCCCAGGTGCTCTCACGTTGTCGGTCAGGGTGACGTCGGCCCCGCGGGTCAGCAGCCGCCGGATGACCTCGATGTGTTTGTGCTCGGCCGCCCAAATGATGGGGGTCCAGCCCCCGCTGTCCTGGGGGGGTCAAACAGGGGTCACTCAGGGGTCACTCAGGGTCAGTGACCACCCACTGACCACCCCTGACCCAAATGATGGGGGTCCAGCCCCCGCTGTCCTGGGGGGGCACACAGGGGTCAGTGACCAGCACTGACCAGCACTGACCACCCCAAACCCAAATGATGGGGGTCCAGGCCCCGCTGTCCTGGGGGGGCACACGGGGGTCACTCAGGGTCAGGGACCAGCACTGACCAGCACTGACCAGCACTGACCAGCACTGACCAGAACTGACCAGCACTGACCAGCACTGACCACCCCAAACCATCACTGACCACCCCAGACCATCACTGACCACCCCAGACCCAAATGATGGGGGTCCAGCCCCCGCTGTCCTGGGGGGACACAGGGGTCACTCAGGGTCAGGGACCAGCACTGACCAGCACTGACCACCCCCAGACCAGCACTGACCACCCACAGACCATCACTGACCACTCTCAGGACACTCAGGACACACTGACCCCTCCCAGGACACACTGACCATTGCCAGGACACTCTCAGGACACACTGACCACTCTCAGGACACACCTGAGCTCACACCTGTCCCTCACCTGTGCGTTGACGTCCACCTGGCCGGTGCTCAGCAGCAGCTCCAATGACCATTGCCAGGACACTCTCAGGACACTCAGGACACACTGACCACACTGACCACACTGACCATTCCCAGGACACTCAGGACACACTGACCACACTGCCCATTGCCCACACCTGTCCCTCACCTGTGCGTTGACGTCCACCTGGCCGGTGCTCAGCAGCAGCTCCATTGACCAATGACCATTGCCAGGACACACTCAGGACACTCAGGACACACTGACCACACTCAGGACACACTGACCATTGCCAGGACACACTGACCACACTCAGGACACTCTCAGGACACACTCAGGACACACTGACCACACTGACCACACTGACCACACTGACCATTGCCCACACCTGTCCCTCACCTGTGCGTTGACGTCCACCTGGCCGGTGCTCAGCAGCAGCTCCATTGACCACTGACCATTGCCAGGACACACTCAGGACACCCAGGACACTCAGGACACACTGACCATTGCCAGGACACACTGACCACACTCAGGACACTCTCAGGACACTCAGGACACACTGACCACACTGACCCCTCTCAGGACACACTGACCACACTGCCCACACCTGTCCCTCACCTGTGCGTTGACGTCCACCTGGCCGGTGCTCAGCAGCAGCTCCACCATCTCCAGGTTTCCGTTTTTGGCCGCGTGGTGCAGGCAGGTGGAGCCGTCCTCCTCCTGTGACATCATACAGAGAGGGGGCGGGGCACGGTGACGTCACACGGCGGGGATGACGTCATACGGGGAAGCGGTGATGTCATACAGAGAGAGACGGTGACGTCATACCGGGGTGGTGATGTCATACAGGGAGCGGTGACGTCATAATGGGAGTTGTGACGTCATACAGGGAGGGATGATGACGTCATACATGGGGTGACGTCACACGGGGAGTGATGATGTAATAATGGGTGTTGCGACGTCATACAGGGGGTTGTGATGTCATAAAGGGAGCGGTGACGTCACAAATGGAGTTGTGACGTCATATAGAGGGTTGCTGATGTCATAATGTGAGCTGTGACGTCACACAGGGGGTCGATGATGTCATACAGGGAGGCAATGGTGTCATAAATAGAATGGTGACGTCATACTGGGAATTATGATGTCATACAGAGAGTGATGATGTCATAAATGGAGTTCTGACATCATACAGAAGATGATGACATCATACAGGAAGGTGACGATGTTATAAATGGAGTTGTGACGTCATACAGAGGACGGTGACGTCACACAGGGAGGCAATGACATCACACAAAGGACGGTGACATCACACGGGGGAGGGGCGGGCACTGTGACGTCACGCAGCAGAGCGGCGGTGACGTCACAGGGTGGGGACGATGTCATCGGGTGGGGGTGACGTCATGGTTTGTGTGGTGACGTCACGGGGCGTGCGATGACGTCACAGGTGTGTCTGTGATCTCACAGGTGTGTGGGGGTGTGTCTACGATGTCCCAGGTGTGTCCCAGGTATGTCCCAGGTGTATCTATGATGTCCCAGGTGTGTCTATGATGTCCCAGGTGTGTGTATGACGTCACACAGGTGTGTCCCAGGTGTGTCTATGACGTCACACAGGTGTGTCCATACCTGGCTGTACGCGCACCCCCCCCTGCCCAGCAGGTACCGCGCTGTCTCTGTGTATCTATGATACCCCAGCTGTATCTATGATATCCCAGGTGTGTCTATGATGTCACACAGGTGTCACACAGGTGCATATATGACGTCACTCACCTGGCTATACGCGCACCCCCCCCTGCCCAGCAGGTACCCGCGCCGTCTCTGTGTGTGTGTGTGTGTGTGTATCTATGATACCCCAGGTGTGTCTATGATACCCCAGGTGTGTCTATGATACCCCAGGTGTATCACAGGTGTATATATGATGTCACAGGTGTATCTATGACGTCACTCTCACCTGGCTGTAGGCACACCCCCCCCGTGCCCAGCAGGTACCACGCCGTCTCTGTGTGTGTGTGTGTGTATCTATGATACCCCAGGTGTCACACAGGTGTCCCAGGTGTGTCCCAGGTGTGTCACACTCACCTGGCTGTAGGCACACCCCCCCCTGCCCAGCAGGTACCGCGCCGTCTCTGTGTGTGTATCTATGATACCCCAGGTGTGTCTATGATACCCCAGGTGTATCACAGGTGTATATATGATGTCACAGGTGCATTTATGACGTCACTCACCTGGCTATACGCACACCCCCCCCGTGCCCAGCAGGTACCGCGCCGTCTCTGTGTGTGTGTGTGTGTGTGTGTGTGTGTGATATCCCAGGTGTGTCTATGATGTCACACAGGTATGATGATGTCACACAGGTATGATGACGTCACTCAGGTGTGTCACTCACCTGGCTATAGGCACACCCCCCCCTGCCCAGCAGGTACCGCGCCGTCTCTGTGTGTGTGTGTATCTATGATACCCCAGGTGTGTCTATGATGTCACACAGGTATGATGATGTCACACAGGTGTCACAGGTGTGTCCCAGGTGTGTCACTCACCTGGCTGTAGGCACACCCCCCCCTGCCCAGCAGGTACCGCGCCGTCTCTGTGTGTGTGTATGTGTGTGTGTGTATCTATGATACCCCAGGTGTGTCTATGATATCCCAGGTGTATCACAGGTGTCACACAGGTGTCACACAGGTGTGTCACTCACCTGGCTATACGCGCACCCCCCCCTGCCCAGCAGGTACCGCGCCGTCTCTGTGTGTGTGTGTGTGATACCCCAGCTGTGTGGGTGTATCTATGATATCCCAGCTGTGTGTGGGTGTGTCTATGATGTCACACAGGTGTGATGACGTCACTCAGGTGTGTCACACTCACCTGGCTGTACGCACACCCCCCCCTGCCCAGCAGGTACCGCGCCGTCTGTGTGTGTGTGTGTGATATCCCAGCTGTATCTATGATACCCCAGGTGTGTCTATGCTGTCCCAGGTGTGTCACAGGTGTCACACAGGTGTCACACAGGTGTGTCCCAGGTGTGTCACTCACCTGGCTGTACGCACACCCCCCCTGCCCAGCAGGTACCGCGCCGTCTCCAGTTGATCGTTGGCCACGGCCTCCATCAGCGGCGTCCGGCGCTGCTTGTCCACGGCGTTGATGTTGGCACCGGCCTGAGAGTGACCACAGTGACCATGAGTGACCAGAGAGTGACCAATGATCACAGAGTGACCACAGAGTGACCATGAGGAACCACAGAGTGACCACAGTGACCATGAGGGACCATGAGTGACCATGAGGGACCAATGAGTGACCACACAGTGACCACAGCGACCATGAGGGACCAATGAGTGACCCTGAGTGACCATGAGTGACCACAGAGTGACCAATGATCACAGAGTGACCATGAGGGACCACAGAGTGACCAGAGAGTGACCAGAGTGACCAATGATCACAGAGTGACCACACAGTGACCATGAGGGACCATGAGTGACCACTGACCACAGAGTGACCATGAGGGACCACAGAGTGACCATGAGGGACCATGAGTGACCACAGAGTGACCACAGTGACCAATGAGTGACCACACAGTGACCATGAGGGACCAAAAAGTGACCATAGAGTGACCACTGAGTGACCACTGAGTGACCACTGAGTGACCACAGAGTGACCACAGTGACCAATGAGTGACCCCTGAGTGACCAGAGTGACCAATGAGTGACCAATGAGTGACCACAGAGTGACCAGAGAGTGACCAGAGTGACCATGAGGGACCATGAGTGACCAATGATCACAGAGTGACCATGAGTGACCATGAGTGACCACAGAGTGATCACAGAGTGACCATAGAGTGACCACTGACCACTGAGTGACCACTGAGTGACCATAGAGTGACCATAGTGACCACTGACCAACAGATCCCACACTGGGATGTCCCTGCTGTCACTCAGGTGTCACTCAGGTGTCACTCAGGTGTCACTGATGTCACTCAGGTGTCACTCAGGTGTCCCAGGTGTCCCCCAGGTGTGTCCCTCACTCACCTGCAGCAGGAGGTGACAAATCTCCAGGTGTCCCTTAGGGAGCACTGGGATGTCCCTGCTGTCACTCAGGTGTTACAGGTGTCACTCAGGTGTGTCCCTGCTGTCACTCAGGTGTCACTCAGGTGTCACTCAGGTGTTACAGGTGTGTCACTGATGTCACTCAGGTGTCACTCAGGTGTCACTGCTGTCACTCAGGTGTCACTCAGGTGTCACTCAGGTGTCACTCAGGTGTCACTCACCTGCAGCAGGAGGTGACAAATCTCCAGGTGTCCCTTAGGGAGCACTGGGATGTCCCTGCTGTCACTCAGGTGTCACTCAGGTGTTACAGGTGTGTCACTGCTGTCACTCATGTGTCACTCATGTGTCACTCAGGTGTCACTCAGGTGTGTCCCAGGTGTCACTCAGGTGTCACTCAGGTGTGTTATAGGTGTGTTACAGGTGTCACTCAGGTGTCACTCAGGTGTCACTGATGTTACAGGTGTCACTCAGGTGTCACTCAGGTGTGTCCCAGGTGTCACTCAGGTGTGTCACTCACCTGCAGCAGGAGGTGACAAATCTCCAGGTGTCCCTTAGGGAGCACTGGGATGTCCCTGCTGTCACTCAGGTGTGTCCCAGGTGTGTCCCAGGTGTGTCCCAGGTGTGTCACTGCTGTCACTCAGGTGTCACTGATGTCACTCAGGTGTGTTGCTCACTCACCTGCAGCAGGAGGTGACAAATCTCCAGGTGCCCCTTTGGGCTGTACTGGGATGTCCCTGCTGTCACTCAGGTGTCACTCAGGTGTTACAGGTGTGTCACTGCTGTCACTCAGGTGTCACTCAGGTGTCACTCAGGTGTCACTCAGGTGTCACTGATGTTACAGGTGTCACTCAGGTGTCACTCAGGTGTCACTCAGGTGTTACAGGTGTGTCACTGATGTCACTCAGGTGTTACAGGTGTCCCCCAGGTGTGTCCCAGGTGTGACTCACCTGCAGCAGGAGGTGACAAATCTCCAGGTGTCCCTTAGGGAGCACTGGGATGTCCCTGCTGTTACAGGTGTGTCCCTGCTGTCACTCAGGTGTCACTCAGGTGTCACTCAGGTGTCACTCAGGTGTGTCCCAGGTGTGTCCCAGGTGTCACTCACCTGCAGCAGGAGGTGACAAATCTCCAGGTGCCCCTTTGGGCTGTACTGGGATGTCCCTGCTGTCACTCAGGTGTCACAGGTATGTTACAGGTGTCACTCAGGTGTCACTCACGTGTGTTATAGGTGTGTTACAGGTGTCACTCAGGTGTCACTCAGGTGTGTCACTCACCTGCAGCAGGAGGTGACAAATCTCCAGGTGTCCCTTAGGGAGCACTGGGATGTTTCAGGTGTCACTCAGGTGTTATAGGTGTGTCCCAGGTGTGTCCCTGCTGTCACTCAGGTGTCACTCAGGTGTCACTCAGGTGTCACTCAGGTGTCCCTCAGGTGTGACTCACCTGCAGCAGGAGGTGACAAATCTCCAGGTGTCCCTTCTGGGCGGCCGCGTGCAGCGCCGAGCGCTTGCTCTGAGCGTCGCTCTGGAAATTGGGGTCCAGGTTGTCCACTGGGGGCAGGGGACACAAAAATGGGGTGAAAAACACGGAAAATGGGAAAAAAGGAGACCAAAAAATGGGGTAAAAAGCACTGAAAATGGGGTAAGAAAGACCCAAACTCACAGAGCATGAGGATGACCCGGCCCAGCTCCCCCTGTTTGACGCTCAGGTAAAGCTGCCGGGGGTGGAAACGGAGCTTCTTCCTCCTGGGGGGAACTGGGAGTGACTGGGATGGACTGGGATGGGACTGGGAGGGATTGGGAGGGACTGGGGGGGACTGGGATGGGATTGGGAGGGGATTGGGGGGGACTGGGATTAACTGGGAGGGACTGGGAGGGACTGGGATGGGATTGGGGGGACTGGGAGGGACTGGGAGTGACTGGGAGTGACTGGGATGGAACTGGGATGGACTGGGAGGAATTTTAGGGAGCCCCAGGGAATTTTCGGGTATTTTTATCCACCCCAGGTGAATTTTTTGGGATGATTTAACCCTCCCCAGGTGTTATTTTGGGGTCCCAGATGTGGTTTTTGGGGTCCCAAATGTGATTTTTAGGGTCCCAGATGTGATTTTTGGGGTCCCAGGTGTGTTTTTCCCTCACCTCTCGGCCTCCTGGCCCAGCAGGGCCTTCTCCAGGTGTGGTTTTGGGTGTAATTTTGGGGTCCCAGGTACCTTTTATCCCCCCCAGGTGTGTTTTTTTGGGGTCCCAGGTACATTTTAACCCCCCCAGGTGTGGTTTATCCCCCCAGGTGTATTTTAACCCCCCCCCCAGGTGTATTTTAGGGGTCCCAGGTGTATTTTAGGGGTGTTTTCCCCTCACCTCTCGGCCTCCTGGCCCAGCAGGGCCTTCTCCAGGTGTGGTTTTTTGGGGTCCCAGGTGTGGTTTTGGGCTGTTTTATCCCCCCCAGGTGTGGTTTTGGGTGTATTTATGGGGTCCCAGGTACATTTTAACCCCCCCAGGTGTATTTTAACCCCCCCCAGGTGTATTTTAGGGGTCCCAGGGGTATTTTTGGGGTGTTTTCCCTTCACCTCTCGGCCTCCTGGCCCAGCAGGGCCTTCTCCAGGTGTGGTTTTTTGGGGTCCCAGGTACATTTTATCCCCCCCAGGTACATTTTAACCCCCCCAGATGTGATTTTTGGGGTCCCAGGTGTGTTTTCCCTTCACCTCTCGGCCTCCTGGCCCAGCAGGGCCTTCTCCAGGTGTGGTTTTTTGGGGTCCCAGGTGTGTTTTATCCCCCCCAGGTGTGGTTTATCCCCCCAGGTGTATTCTTGGCCCCCCAGATGTGGTTTTGGGGTGTTTTCCCCTCACCTCTCGGCCTCCTGGCCCAGCAGGGCCTTCTCCAGGTGTGGTTTTGGGCTGTTCTATCCCCCCCAGGTGTGGTTTTTTGGGGTCCCAGGTACATTTTAACCCCCCCAGGTGTATTTTAACCCCCCCAGGTGTATTTTTGGCCCCCCAGATGTGGTTTTTGGGGTGTTTTCCCCTCACCTCTCGGCCTCCTGGCCCAGCAGGGCCTTCTCCAGGTGTGGTTTTGGGTGTATTTATGGGGTCCCAGGTACATTCTAACCCTCCTGGATGTATTTTTGGGGTCCCAGGGGTATTTTTGGCCCCCCAGATGTGGTTTTTGGGGTGTTTTTCCCTCACCTTTCGGCCTCCTGGCCCAGCAGGGCCTTCTCCAGGTGCTCTCGGGCGGGGCCTGGGGGGAGCCCCCGGGCGCTCAGGGCCCCCCCCGAGGGCAGGGCCAGGGCGGGGCCCCCGGAGCTGTCGATGGGCTCGGCCTGGGGGTCCTGGGGGGGCGCCCGGCCCTCGCCCTGGCCCCGCATACGGGCACTGAGGGGGGGAAAGGAACAAAAATGAGCCAAAATCAGCAAAAATCCCAAAAAAATCCCGTTCAAAATGAGCCAAAAATCACAAAAATGTACCCAAAATAACCCAAAATCAGCCAAAATAACCCAAAATATCCCTGGCCCCGCATCCAGGCACTGAGGGGGGAAAAGGAGCCAAAATCAGGAAAAATCCCCAAAAAAATCCCACCAAAATAACCCAAAAATCAATAAAATCCCGTTCAAAATAACCCAAAATAACCCAGAATATCCCGGCCCTCGCCCTGGCCCCGCATCCGGGCACTGCCAGGGGGGAAAAGGAGCAAAAATGAGCCAAAATCAGCAAAAAAATCCCGTTCAAAATGAGCCAAAATCAGCCAAAATAACCCAAACTATCCCTGACCCCGCATCCGGGCACTGAGGGGGGAAAATCAGCCAAAATCAGCCCAAATCAGCCCAAAGAAATCCCCAACAATCCCCAAAAAAATCCCACTCAAAATGACCCAAAATCAGCCAAAATAACCCCAAAAAAACCCACTCAAAATGAGCCAAAATCAGCCAAAATCAGCCCAAAAATCCCACTCAAAATGAGCCAAAATCAGCCAAAATAACCCAAAGTATCCCCGGCCCTCACCCTGGCCCCGCATCCGGGCACTGAGGGGGGAAAGGAGCCAAAATGAGCCAAAATCAGGAAAAATCCCCCAAAAAAACCCCATCAAAATAACCCAAAAATCAAAAAAATCCCGTTCAAAATAACCCAAAATCAGCCAAAATAACCCAAAATATCCCTGAACCCTCATCCAGGCACTGAGGGGGGACAGAGACCAAAATCAGCAAAAATCAGCAAAAAAATCCCATTCAAAATGACCCAAAAATCAGCCAAAATCAGCCCAAAAATCCCACTCAAAATGACCCAAAATCAGCCCAAAAATCCCACTCAAAATGACCCAAAATCAGCCCAAAATCCCACTCAAAATCAACCAAAATCCCCCAAAAATCCCACTCAAAATGACCCAAAAATCATAAAAATCCCGTTCAAAATGACCCAAAATCAGCCAAAATAACCCAAAGTATCCCCGGCCCTCACCCTGGACCCGCATCCGGGCACTGCCAGGGGGGAAAGGAGCCAAAATGAGCCAAAATCAGCAAAAATCCCCAAAAAAACCCCACCGAAATAACCCAAAAATAAAAAAAATGCACCCAAAATAACCCAAAGTATCCCCGGCCCTCGCCCTGGCCCCGCATCCGGCACTGCCAGGGGGGAAAGGAGCAAAAATCAGGAAAAATCAGCCCAAAAATCCCAAAAAAATCCCGTTCAAAATGAGCCAAAATCGGCAAAAATCAGCCCAAAATTCCCACTCAAAATCAGCCAAAATCCCCCCAAAATCCCACTCAAAATGAGCCAAAATCAACCCAAAAATCCCATTCAAAATGACCCAAAATCAGCCCAAAAATCCCACTCAAAATCAGCCCAAAATCCCACTTAAAATGAGCCAAAATCCCCCAAAAAATCCCACTCAAAATGACCCAAAATCCCCCAAAAAAACCCCACTCAAAATGAGCCAAAATGAGCCAAAATAACCCAGAATATCCCGGCCCTCGCCCTGGCCCCGCATGCGGGCACTGAGGGGGAAAAGGAGCAAAAATCAGCAAAAATCCCAAAAAAAATCCCACCAAAATAACCCAAAAATCAAAAAATCCCGTTCAAAATGAGCCAAAATCAGCCAAAATAACCCCCAAAAAACCCACTCAAAAATGAGCCAAAATAACCCCAAAAAAACCCACTTAAAATAACCCAAAATCAGCCAAAAAATCCCATTCAAAATGAGCCAAAATCCCCCCAAAAATCCCACTCAAAATGAGCCTAAATGAGCCAAAATCAGCCCAAAAACCCCACTCAAAATGAGCCAAAATCAGCCAAAATAACCCAAACTGTCCCCAGCCCTCGCCCTGGCCCCGCATCCGGGCACTGAGGGGGGAAAGGAGCCAAAATCAGGAAAAATCAGGAAAAATCCCAAAAAAAATCCCACCAAAATAACCCAAAAATCAAAAAAAATGCACCCAAAATAACCCAAAGTATCCCCGGCCCTCGCCCTGGCCCCGCATCCGGGCACTGAGGGGGGAAAGGAGCCAAAATGAGCCAAAATCAGCAAAAATCCCCAAAAAAATCCCACCGATATAACCCAAAATCACAAAAATCCCATTCAAAATGAGCCAAAAATCAAAAAAATCCCGTTCAAAATAACCCAAAATCAGCCAAAATAACCCAAAATATCCCTGGCCCCACATCCGGGCACTGAGGGGGGAAAGGAGCCAAAATCAGGAAAAATCCCCAAAAAAATCCCGTTCAAAATGAGCCAAAAATCAGCCAAAATCAGCCCAAAAATCCCACTCAAAATCAGCCAAAATCAGCCCAAAAATCCCACTCAAAATCAGCCCAAAAATTCCACTCAAAATGACCCAAAATCAGCCAAAATCCCCCCAAAAATCCCACTCAAAATGACCCAAAAATCAGCAAAAATCCCACTCAAAATGAGCCAAAATCAGCCAAAATAACCCAAACTGTCCCCGGCCCTCGCCCTGGCCCCGCATCCGGGCACTGAGGGGGGAAAGGAGCAAAAATCAGGAAAAATCCCCAAAAAATCCCGTTCAAAATGAGCCAAAAATCACAAAAATCCACTCAAAATAACCCAAACTGTCCCCGGCCCCGCATCCGGGCACTGAGGGGGGAAAGGAGCAAAAATCAGCAAAATCAGGAAAAATCCCCAAAAAAATCCCGTTCAAAATGAGCCAAAATCAGCAAAAATCCCCAAAAAATCCCGCTCAAATGACCCAAAATCAGCCAAAATCAGCCCAAAAATCCCACTCAAAATCAGCCAAAATCAGCCAAAATCAACCCAAAAATCCTGTTCAAAATGACCCAAAATCAGCCCAAAAAATCCCACTCAAAATCAGCCCAAAATCCCACTTAAAATGAGCCAAAATCCCCCAAAAAATCCCACTCAAAATGACCCAAAATCCCCCAAAAAAACCCCACTCAAAATGAGCCAAAATGAGCCAAAATAACCCAGAATATCCCGGCCCTCGCCCTGGCCCCGCATCCGGGCACTGCCAGGGGGGAAAGGAGCCAAAATCAGGAAAAATCAGCAAAAATCCCCAAAAAAATCCCACCGAAATAACCCAAAATCAAAAAAATCCCGTTCAAAATAACCCAAAATCAGCCAAAATAACCCAAACTATCCCTGGCCCCGCATCCGGGCACTGAGGGGGGAAAGGAGCCAAAATCAGGAAAAATCCCCAAAAAAATCCCGTTCAAAATGACCCAAAAATCAGCCAAAATCAGCCCAAAAATCCCACTCAAAATGACCCAAAATCAGCCAAAATCCCACTCAAAATCAACCAAAATCCCCCAAAAATCCCACTCAAAATGACCCAAAAATCACAAAAATCCCACTCAAAATGAGCCAAAATCAGCCAAAATAACCCAGAATATCCCGGCCCTCGCCCTGGCCCCGCATCCGGGCACTGAGGGGGGAAAGGAGCAAAAATGAGCCAAAATCAGGAAAAATCCCCAAAAAAAATCCCACCAAAATAACCCAAAAATCAAAAAAATGCACCCAAAATAACCCAAAATATCCCGGCCCTCGCCCTGGCCCCGCATCCGGGCACTGCCAGGGGGGAAAAGGAGCCAAAATGAGCCAAAATCAGCAAAAATCCCCAAAAAAATCCCGTTCAAAATGAGCCAAAAATCACAAAAATGTACCCAAAATAACCCAAAATCAGCCAAAATAACCAAAATATCCCTGGCCCCGCATCCGGGCACTGAGGGGGGAAAAGGAGCCAAAATCAGGAAAAATCCCCAAAAAAATCCCGTTCAAAATGAGCCAAAAATCCCCCAAAAAATCCCACTCAAATGACCCAAAATCAGCCCAAAAATCCCACTCAAAATCAGCCCAAAAATTCCACTCAAAATGACCCAAAATCAGCCAAAATCCCCCCAAAAATCCCACTCAAAATGACCCAAAAATCACAAAAATCCCACTCAAAATGAGCCAAAATCGGCCAAAATTACCCAAAGTATCCCCGGCCCTCACCCTGGCCCCGCATCCGGGCACTGCCAGGGGGGAAAAGGAGCAAAAATCAGGAAAAATCCCCCAAAAAATCCCGTTCAAAATGAGCCAAAATCAGCCCAAAAATCCCACTCAAAATCAGCCAAAATCAGCCAAAAAATCCCATTCAAAATGACCCAAAATCAGCCAAAATCAGCCCAAAAATCCCACTCAAAATCAGCCCAAAAATCACAAAAATCCCACTCAAAATGAGCCAAAATCAGCCAAAATAACCCAAAAAAAACCCCACTCAAAATGAGCCAAAATCAGCCCAAAAATCCACTCAAAATGACCCAAAAATCACAAAAATCCCACTCAAAATGAGCCAAAATCAGCCAAAATAACCCAAACTGTCCCCGGCCCTCACCCTGGACCCGCATCCGGGCACTGAGGGGGGAAAGGAGCCAAAATCAGCAAAATCAGGAAAAATCCCCAAAAAAATCCCGTTCAAAATGAGCCAAAATCGGCCAAAATCAGCCCAAAATTCCCACTCAAAATCAGCCAAAATCCCCCCAAAATCCCACTCAAAATGAGCCAAAATCAGCCAAAATCAACCCAAAAATCCCGTTCAAAATGACCCAAAATCAGCCCAAAAATCCCACTCAAATCAGCCCAAGATCCCAAAAAAATACCACTTAAAATGAGGCAAAATCAGCCCAAAAATCCCACTCAAAATGACCCAATCCCACTCAAAATGACCCAAAATCAGCCAAAATAACCCAAAAAAACCCCACTCAAAATGACCCAAAATCAGCCAAAATCCCCCCCCAAAAATTCACTTTTTCCCCCCAAAAACCCAATTTTTTTCCCCCTCAAAATTCACTTTTTTACCCCCCAAAATCCAATATTTTGTCCCTCAAAAATTCAATATTTTAGTCCCAAAAAATTCACTTTTTTCCCCTCAAAATCCACATTTTTCCCCCAAAACCCCTATTTTTTTCCCCCTCAAAATTCACTTTTTTCCCCCTTAAAATCAACTTTTTCCCCCCTAAACCCCATTTTTTCCCCCAAAACCCCATTTTTTTGCCCCCAAAACCCCATTTTTTCCCCAAAAACCCCATTTTTTGCCCCCAAAAATGCAAATTTTTTTCCCCAAAAAATCCCATTTTCCCCCAAAAAATCATTTTTTTCCCCCTCAAAATTCACTTTTTTCTCCCCCTCAAAATCCACTTTTTTACCCCAAAAACCCAATTTTCTTCCCCTCAAAATTCAATTTCTTTCCCCAAAAAATTCACTTTTTTTCCCCAAAAAACCCAATTTTTTTGCCCCTAAAAATGCAAATTTTTTTGCCCAAAATCCACAATTTTTCCCCCTCAAAATCCACTTTTTTTCCCCAAAAACCCAAATATTTTTCCCCCAAACCCCCACTTTTTTCCCCTCAAAATTCACTTTTTTCCCCCTCAAAATCCACTTTTTTTCCCCAAAAACCCAATTTTTTTTCCCCAAAACCCCATTTTTTCCCCTCAAAACCCCAATTTTTTTTTCCCCCCAAACCCATTTTTTCCCCCAAAATCCACATTTTCCCCCCTCAAAATTCACTTTCTTCCCCTTAAAATCCACATTTTTCCCCCTCAAAATCCACTTTTTTCCCCTCAAAATTCAATATTTTCCCCCTCAAAATCCACTTTTTTTCCCCAAAAACCCAAATTTTTTCCCCCCAAAACCCCATTTTTTTCCCCCCAAAACCCCAATTTTTTTTCCCAAAACCCCAATTTTTTTGCCCCCAAAAATACAATTTTTTTGCCCCAAAATCCACATTTTTCCCCCCAAAAATGCAAATTTTTTCCCCTCAAAATTCCCTTTTTTCCCCCAAAAAATCCACTTTTTTTTCCCCTCAAAATTCCCTTTTTTCCCCCCAAATACCCAATTTTTTTTCCCCCAAAAATACAAATATTTTTGCCCCAAAATCCACATTTTTCCCCCCTCAAAATTCAACTTTTCCCCCCCAAAAAATCCACATTTTCCCCCTCAAAACTCAAATTTTTTTCCCCTCAGAAATCCCCAAACTCCCCCCCCTCCCCTACCTGGGCGTGGCCGCCTCGTTCCTGCCGCGGGCGCGGCCGGGCAGGGGCGTGGCCAAGCGCGGGGGGCGTGGCCAGCAGCGGGGGCGGGGGCGGCTCGGCCGAGCCCGGGGCCCCCTCGGGGCGGGGCAGCGTCACCTCCTGGGCCTCGGACGCGTCCTCGCCGCAGTGGGGACAGAAAATGAGACCCCCGAGGCGGGAGACGCACGAGCGGTGGAAACGGTGCCCGATGCGCACGTCTGGGTGGCACTCCAGGAATGTGCCCTGGGAAATGGCACCAAATGTCACAAAAATGGCACCAAAATGGCACAAAAATGGCACCAAAATGGCATAAAAATGGGGTATGAGGACACAGGAGCGGTGGGAACGGTGCCGATGCGCACGTCAGGGTGGCACTCCAGGAATGTGCCCTGGGAAAGGGACACAGAAATGGCACCAAAGTGTCCCCAAAGTGTCCCTAAAATGTCCCCAAGGGGTCCTAAAATGGGGTTTGGGGACACAGGAGCGGTGGGAACGGTGCCCGATGCGCACGTCAGGGTGGCACTCCAGGAATGTGCCCTGAGAAAGGGACACAGAAATGGCACCAAAATGGCACCAAAATGGCACCAAAATGGCACCAAAATGGCACAAAAATGGGGTTTGGGGACACAGGAGCGGTGGGAACAGTGCCCGATGTGCACGTCAGGGTGGCACTCCAGGAATGTGCCCTGAGAGAGGGACACAGAAATGGCACCAAAGTGTCCCCAAAGTGTCCCCAGGGGGTCCTAAAATGGGATTTGGGGACACAGGAGTGGTGGGAACGGTGCCCGATGCGCACGTCAGGGTGGCACTCCAGGAATGTGCCCTGAGAAAGGGACACAGAAATGGCACCAAAATGGCACCAAAATGGCACCAAAATGGCACAAAAATGGGGTTTGGGGACACAGGAGCGGTGGGAACGGTGCCCGATGCGCACGTCTGGGTGGCACTCCAGGAATGTGCCCTGGGAAAGGGACACAGAAATGGCACCAAAATGGCACCAAAATGGCACAAAAATGGCACCAAAATGGCACAAAAATGGCATAAAAATGGGGTTTGGGGACACAGGAGCGGTGGGAATGGTGCCCGATGCGCACGTCAGGGTGGCACTCCAGGAATGTGCCCTGAGAAAGGGACACAAAAATGGCACCAAAATGGCACCAAAATGGCACCAAAATGGCACCAAAGGGGTCCTAAAATGGGGTTTGGGGACGCACGAGCGGCTGGGAACGGTGCCCGATGCGCACGTCAGGGTGGCACTCCAGGAATGTGCCCTGAGAAAGGGGACACAGAAATGGCACCAAAATGGCACCAAATGGCACAAAAATGACACAAAAATGGCACCAAAGGGGACCTAAAATGGGTTATGGGAACCTAAAGGGGATTTGGGGACAGTTTGAGGGGGTTTGGGGACACATTGGCACCAGGATGGCACTGCAGGAATGTCCCCTAAAGGGACACAAAATGGCACCAAATGTCCCCAAAGTGTCCCCAGAATCCTTAAGGTTTGTTATGGGACGTTAAAGGGGATTTGGGGAAAATTAAAGGGATTTTGGGGACATTAAAGGGATTTTGGGGACAGTTTGAGGGGATTTGGGGACACAGGAGCGGTGGGAACGGTGCCGATGCGCACGTCAGGGTGGCACTGCAGGAATGTGCCCTGAGAAAGGGACACAGAAATGGCACCAAAATGGCGCCAAAATGGCACCAAAATGGCACCAAAGGGTCCCCAAATTGTCCGGAGTGAGGCCAAGGTCCCAAAGTTGGGTTATGGGACATTAAAGGGGGTTTGGGGACAGTTCAAGGGGATTTGGGGACACATTGGCACCAGGGTGGCACTGCAGGAATGTCCCCTAAAGGGACACAAAATGGCACCAAAGTGTCCCCAAAATCCTTAAGGTTTGTTATGGGACATTAAAGGGGATTTGGGGAAAATTAAAGGGATTTTGGGGACAGTTTGAGGGGGGTTTGGGGACAGTTTGAGGGGGTTTGGGGACACAGGAGTGGTGGGAACGGTGCCCGATGCGCACGTCAGGGTGGCACTCCAGGAATGTGCCCTGGGAAAGGGACACAGAAATGGCACCAAAATGGCACCAAATGGCAGCAAAGTGTCACAAAAATGGCACCAAAATGGCACAAAAATGGCACCAAAATCCTAAAGATTGGCTACAGGTCCTTAAAGGGATTTTGGGGACAGTTTGAGGGGATTTGGGGACAATCAAAGGGATTTTGGGGACAATTAAAGGGGATTTGGGGGACGCTTTGGCACCAGGGTGGCACTGCAGGAATGTCCCCTAAAGGGGACACAGAAATGGCACCAAAATGGCACAAAAATGGGGTATGGGGACACAGGAGCGGTGGGAACGGTGCCCGATGCGAACGTCAGGGTGGCACTCCAGGAATGTGCCTGAGAAAGGGACACAGAAATGGCACCAAAAATGGCACCAAATGTCCCTAAAGTGTCCCCAAGAGGTCCCCAAGGGGTCCTAAAATGGGGTATGGGAACCTAAAGGGATTTTGGGGACAGTTTGAGGGGATTTGGGGACAGTTTGAGAGGGTTTGGGGTCACATTGGCACCAGGGTGGCACTGCAGGAATGTCCCCTAAAGGGACACAAAATGGCACCAAAATGGCACCAAAGGGTCCCCAAATTGTCCCCAAAGGGTCCTCAACGGATCCTAAAATGGGTTATGGGAACCTAAAGGGGATCTGGGGACAGTTTGAGGGGGTTTGGGGACAATCAAAGGGAGTTTGGGGACACACTGGCACCAGGGTGGCACTGCAGGAATGTGCCCTGAGAAATGGCACCGAATGTCACCAAAATGGCACCAAAATGGCACAAAAATGGGGTTTGGGGACACAGGAGCGGTGGGAACGGTGCCCGATGCGCACGTCAGGGTGGCACTCCAGGAATGTGCCCTGGGAAAGGGACACAGAAATGGCACCAAAATGGCACCAAAATGGCACAAAAATGGGGTATGGGACATTAAAGGGGTTATGGGGACACAGGAGCGGTGGGAACGGTGCCCGATGCACACGTCAGGGTGGCACTCCAGGAATGTGCCCTGAGAAAGGGACACAGAAATGGCACCAAAATGGCACCAAAATGGCACCAAAATGTCCCCAAAGCGGCCTCGAGTAACCCCCGGGGTCCCAAAGTTGGGTTATGGGACATTAAAGGGGTTTTGGGGACAGTTTGAGGGGGTTTGGGGACAATTAAAGGGGATTTGGGGACACATTGGCACCAGGGTGGCACTGCAGGAATGTGCCCTGAGAAAGGGACACAGAAATGGCACCAAAATGGCACAAAAATGGCACCAAATGTCCCCAAAATCCTAAAGATTGGCTACAGGTCCTTAAAGGGATTTTGGGGACAGTTTGAGGGGGTTTGGGACACACTGGCACCAGGGTGGCACTGCAGGAATGTGCCCTGAGGGGGACACAAAATGGCACCAAAATGGCACAAAAAATGGCACCAAAATGTCACCAAAGTGTCCCCAAAATCACTGAGGTTTGTTATGGGACATTAAAGGGGGTTTGGGGGACAATCAAAGGGGATTTGGGGACAGTTTAAGGGATTTGGGGACGCTTTGGCACCAGGGTGGCACTGCAGGAATGTCCCCTAAAGGGACACAAAAATGGCACCAAAACGGCACCAAATGTCCCCAAAATCCTAAAGATTGGCTACAGGTCCTTAAAGGGATTTTGGGGACAGTTTGAGGGGGTTTGGGGACAATTAAAGGGGATTTGGGGACACAGGAGCGGTGGGAACGGTGCCCGATGCGCACGTCCGGGTTTTCCCGTTTTTCCCCGTTTTTTTCGCCATTTACCCATTTTTTACCCGATTTTCACGGGGTTTTTTGCCTTTTTTCCCATTTTTTCCCATTTTCCCCCCAAAATCCCCACTCACAGCGGTGCAGAAGTGCCTGCAGCCGGGGCAGCACTGCTGCTTCACCATCCTGGCTGTGCGATTTGGGATTTTTGGTATTTTCTATGCCATTTACCCATTTTTCACCCGATTTTCACGGGGTTTTTTGCCTTTTTCCCATTTTTTTCCCCTTTTCCCCCCAAAATCCCCACTCACAGCGGTGCAGAAGTGCCCTCAGCTGAGTCAAGCACTGCTGCTTGATCATCCTAGTTTGGGATTTATGGGGTTTTTATGCGATTTTTATGGGATCTTACCCATTTTTAAACCCCGATTTTCACGGGGTTTTTTGCCTTTTTTCCCATTTTTTTCCCATTTTTCCCCCAAAATCCCCACTCACGGCGGTGCAGAAGTGCCCGCAGCCGGGGCAGCACTGCTGCTTGACCATCCTGGCTGTGCGATTTATGGGATTTTTGGTATTTTCTATGGGATTTACCCCATTTTTTGTCCAATTTTCACGGGGTTTTTTGCCTTTTTTCCATTTTTTGGGTTTTTCCCCCCAAAATCCCCACTCACACCAGTGCAGAAGTGCCCGCAGCCGGGCAGCACTGCTGCTTCACCATCCTGGTTTGGGATTTATGGGGGTTTTATGGGATTTTTATGGGATTTTAGGTGTTTCCTATGGGATTTACCCATTTTTTCACCCGATTTTCATGGGATTTTTTGCCTTTTTTTCCCATTTTTAGCCTTTTTTCCCCCAAAATCCCCACTCAGGACGGTGCCAAAGTGACACAGCTGAGTCAACCACTGCTGCTTCACCATCCTGGTTTGGGATTTATGGGATTTTTGTGGGATTTCTGTGGGAATTTTGTGATTTACCCCATTTTTTGTCCGATTTTCACGGGGTTTTTTGCCTTTTTTCCCATTTTTTTCCCCTTTTTCCCCCCCAAACCCCGCACTCACAGCGGTGCAAGAAGTGACCTCAGCTGAGTCAGCACTGCTGCTTCACCATCCTGGCTGTGCGATTTGGGATTTTTTTGCGTTTTTTTCCCGTTTTTTTGCCATTCACCCATTCCTAACCCGATTTTCACGGGGTTTTTTCCCTTTTTTTCCCAATTTTTCCCCTTTTTCCCCCAAACCCCCCGCACTCACAGCGGTGCAGAAGTGCCCGCAGCCGGGGCAGCACTGGTGCTTGATCATCCTGCTTTGGGATTTATGGGGTTCCCATAGGACTTTAAGCGTTTCCTATGGGATTTACCCATTTTTTTGTCCGATTTTCACGGGGTTTTTTCCCTTTTTTCCCATTTTTTGGGTTTTTCCCCCAAACCCCCCGCACTCCCAGCGGTGCAGAAGTGCCCGCAGCCGGGGCAGCACTGGTGCTTGACCATCCTGCTTTGGGATTTATGGGGTTCCCATAGGACTTTAAGTGTTTCCTATGGGATTTACCCATTCCTAACGGGATTTTCATTGGGGTTTTTTTACACTTTTTACCATTTTTGGGTTTTTTTCCCCAAAATCCCCAGTCAGGACAGTCCCAAAGTGACACAGCTGAGTCACCACTGGTGCTTGATCATCCTGGGTGCTCATTTTTGGGGATTTTTTGGGTTTTTTTCGCCATTTACCCATTTCTCACCCGATTTTCACGGGGTTTTTCCCTTTTTTTCCCATTTTTTCCCCTTTTCCCCCCAAAATCCCCACTCACAGCGGTGCAGAAGTGCCCGCAGCCGGGGGCAGCACTGCTGCTTGACCATCCTGGCTGTGCGATTGGGGTTTTCCTCCCCGTTTTTTCCCCATTTTACCCATTTCTCACCCGATTTTCACGGGGGTTTTTTTCCCTTTTTTCCCAATTTCTCCCCTTTTTCCCCCAAAATCCCCCACTCACACCAGTGCAGAGATGACACAGCCAGGGCACCACTGCTGCTTCACCATCCTGGCTGTGCGATTTTGGGTTTTTTTGCCGTTTTTTTTCCCCATTTTTTCGCCATTTACTCATTCCTAATGGGATTTTCATGGGGTTTTTTGCCTTTTTTCCCATTTTTTCCCATTTTTCCCCCAAAATCCCCACTCACACCAGTGCAGAAGTGACCTCAGCTGAGTCACCACTGGTGCTTGACCATCCTGGCTGTGCGATTTGGGTTTTTTCCCCAATTTTTTTGCCATTTACCCATTTCTAATGGGATTTTCAACGGGGTTTTTGCCTTTTTTCCCATTTTCTCCCCTTTTTCCCCCCCAAAATCCCCACTCACAGCAGTGCAGAAGTGCCCGCAGCCGGGGCAGCACTGGTGCTTGACCATCCTGGCTGTGCGATTTATGGGATTTTTGGTATTTTCTATGCCATTTACCCATTTCTCACCCGATTTTCACGGGGTTTTTTGCCTTTTTTCCCATTTTTTTCCCTTTTTCCCCCAAAATCCCCACTCACAGCGGTGCAGAAGTGCCCGCAGCCGGGCAGCACTGCTGCTTCACCATCCTGGCTGTGCGATTTGGGATTTTTTTGCGTTTTTCCCGTTTTTTTGCCATTCACCATTCCTAACCCGATTTTCACGGGGTTTTTTCCCTTTTTTCCCATTTTTTCCCCTTTTCCCCCCAAAATCCCCACTCACAGCGGTGCAGAAGTGCCCGCAGCCGGGGCAGCACTGCTGCTTGACCATCCTGGGTGCTCATTTTTGGGGATTTTTTGGGTTTTTTTCGCCATTTACCCATTTCTCGTCCGATTTTCACGGGGTTTTTTCCCTTTTTTCCCATTTTTTGGGTTTTTTCCCCCCAAAATCCCCACTCACAGCGGTGCAGAAGTGCCCGCAGCCCGGGGCAGCACTGGTGCTTGACCATCCTGCTTTGGGATTTATGGGGTTCCCATAGGATTTTAGGTATTTTCTATGCATTTTCCCATTTCTGACCCGATTTCACGGGGTTTTTTTCCCTTTTTTCCATTTTTTCCCCTTTTTCCCCCAAACCCCGCACTCACAGCGGTGCAGAAGTGCCCGCAGCCGGGGCAGCACTGGTGCTTCACCATCCTGGCTGTGCGATTTGGGATTTTTGGTATTTTCTATGGGATTTACCCATTTTTTTGTCCGATTTTCACGGGGTTTTTTCCCTTTTTTCCCATTTTTTGGGTTTTTCCCCCCAAAATCCCCACTCACAGCGGTGCAGAAGTGCCCGCAGCCGGGGCAGCACTGGTGCTTGACCATCCTGGCGCGGTGGCTCTCGCACAGCACCATCAGGGGCACGCGGCTCGAGGGCCTCATGGTCTCGCGCTTCAGGATGCTGCTCCCGCACGCCTCAGCTGCACACACAGGGACACAAATTTGGGGACAGTTTTGGCAATTTTGGGTTTTTTCGGGATGGCCCAGGTGGGCATGGTTGGAGCTTGTGGGGGGGAGGTTGCAGGTGCTCGGAGGTGGGGGGGAATTTGGGGTTTTTTTGGGGGGATTTTGGGGTTTTTGAGGGGGGGAATTGTCCTGGATTTTGGGATTGGGCTGAAATTTCTGGTTGGAGTCTGAGGAGGGGGGGGGGTTCCAGGTGTGCCCAGGTGTGCCCCAGGTGTGTCCCCAATGTCCCCAGGTGTGTCCCAGGTGTGTCCCAGGTGTGTCCCCAATGTCCCCAGGTGTCCCCAAGTGTGCTCCCAAAGCCCCCAGGTGTGCCCAGGTGTGCCCAGGTGTGTCCCCAATGTCCCCAGGTGTGTCCCAGGTGTGTCCAGGTGTGTCCCCAATGTCCCCAGGTGTATTTTAGGTGTCCCCAGGTGAGTTCCCAATGCCCCCAGGTGTGTCCCAGGTGTGTCCCCAATGTCCCCAATGTCCCCAGGTGTGCCCCAGGTGTGTCCCAGGTGTGTCCCCAATGTCCCCAGTGTGTCCCAGGTGTGTCCCAATGTCCCCAGGTGTCCCCAGGTGTGTCCCCAATGTCCCCAGGTGTCCCCAGGTGTGGCCCCAGGTATGCCCAGGTGTATGCCAGGTGTGCCCAGGTGTGTCCCCAATGTCCCCAGGTGTTCCCAATGTCCCCAGGTGTCCCCAGGTGCTCTCACCTGTCCATCCACGCTCTCGGTGGCCATGCAGAGCCCCTGCCCCCAATGTCCCCAATGTCCCCAGGTGTCCCCAATGTCCCCAATGTCCCCAGGTGTGTCCCAGGTGCTCTCACCT